GAGAGTTACGGTTGATCAATTGCTTACGTCACGTATCAGTAAAGTCTCGTGTGAGTGAAGTCACGTGTTTGTAAACCGTAACTCTCGCGAGATCACGTTGTGAAGTGATTGGTCATTAATTATCCTGATGAAGGCGACAGTAGTCGCTGAAAATTTGATCCCTGTAAATAGTGTGTTGGAATAAAGTTTAACGTTTTACTATGATTACTACCAACACAGATGAACTTTCATGATAGTGTTGCATACTGGTAACATTAACAATTTGTATTCTGCATGAGAAAGTAAATGAATTATGGAAGTTAGTGTTAAAAATGAACATCAAAACAATGTTTTTTATAGCATTTCTTACCATAGGTGACAGTTCAGGCCCTGGTCTTTTTTTACTGGAACCCCTGAAAAAGGTTGAATTCTTGGACTTTGCTTTGAACAAATACATGACACATTTTGAAGCAAGTTCAAACTGTAACTTCCAACACAAAAAATTTGACTAATATCCAAATTTGACGAAGGCAGCAGTTTTTCGGGAAGTCTGATTTCTTGTGTTGAAAATTACAGTTTAAACTTAATGACTTCTACCAAAACAGGTAAACTTTCTAGATGAAATACACAAAACATGTACATCACAATTACTATTGAAAACAGATATCATAATCTTTCCCAGCATTCACTACAATGAACTTGGAAAGAAAATTTAAATACAATGTCATATTGACTTGTGACAACCTCTACATGCTATACATAGGGATATATATTAAAGACTGAGTGTATAGATATTAGAAACTCCTCCAACGATTGTATTAATTTGATATCTCATACTAGCCACCCACTTTTGTATTATGAAAAACGTAGTTGACATGTACATGTGTACTTGCTTAAGTTAGTAGATGCCATACTTTGTACATGTACATGTACACTGTACAACTGTTGCGCAATAGTTATTATTATAATAATAGATACAATACCATGCTACTGAATAATAAACACATCTACATTGATGTACAAACATGTAGCAGGTTTTCCCACCTTGCCTGCCTATTGTTTGTGCTGTCCGACCTTGTTTCCGTGACCTTTACGAGGTCGGCGTGGCGGCGAGTCACAGGTCTACCCAGAGTTCCCAGGTTCAGCTTCCCCGCCTGGTTCATTTCATCATCATCGTTACTGGTCACGTTCTCAGACGAGTTAGCTCTGGACTTGTGAAGCTTTAACATGAAGTCCTTCATAGACTGTAGATTAAAGAAGATACTGTTAGTAAATTATGGTATATTTGCAGTAGCAAAATCTCGCGGTCTGAGAAAAATGGACATGTTCACGGAACTATATGTTCGCCATGGTGGCAGATGCAGAAAAAGAAAGTCAACAAATTATTTGTTGAACGTCTAACCCTCGGAAGACGGGGAACAACAGACGATAAACTGGACAGTGTGTGAGTGAGTGGTGATCATAAATTTGCGGAAAAGCGGGGAATATAAAGTATATGTACTGCAAAAAAAATGTGATTTACAGTATTGAGTAAGGGCATTGCAGATTCTTAATAAATTTCATTGATATGCTGAAAACTGTAGCTCAGCTATAGACTATGATTATCATAATCTGTAAAATAAGCTTCATGCTTTTATGAATAGTTATGAACAAATAGAATTAACATCTGTGTCCATAATATCACCATAGTCCATAATATCGCCACCTTGAGAAAAAGTGTGCTTAAAGATATTTTTACTGCAACATACCCTAGGTATGTACATTTGAGGTGTGAAGGAGTGCATACCAAAAGTATGTTGCAGTAAAAATATCTTAAAGCACACTGTTTCTCAAGGTGGCGATATTATGGACCCTGGTGATATTATGGACACAGATGTTACCCGACTGAAATTTCTAAAACTCCCTACAAGACATTGATGCCTAATATACAACCAAAAGGTAATTATGTTACTAGGAAGCGATATATCCAAAGTAGTACTAAGAGCTACATGTAGACCTAGCAAATAAAAACCTGACTGTATGTTATTGAATCAGATATGCTTGGTATTTTACAAAACAGAAACTAACCAAGAGCTTGTCTTCATGTATTTCTGTCATCCCTTGTGAGTTCAGCTTTCGCAAGAGCTGAAAAAAATAAAAGGGTTGTTATACAAATGCCATACATCTGTCACAAAGACACTCAAAGAACTTGTTAAATGTAAGAGAGGTGCAGTAACTGTTTCTGTAGTTTCTGTATGTGCTGCCTGAGGGGGTGAAGTCTGCCATCTCTGACTTACTGCCTTGTTTATAGTACATGATACTCATCTCATCTATTCCTCTGGCAATCAGATTTCTCCACCCTTCTCAGATTTCTGTTTCACATACTATTTAGTGTCATGTCAGTACTACATTGTTAATATGAATATGAATCTTTATTGCATGTTCTTGCCCAGATGGGCTAAACACACAAGAGGACATGCAGTATGCAAAACATGAGTATTGCATACTGGAACGCTATATTCTAATGCTAATTGCTAGGAATTTATACATTATAACAATACTATATACATGTACTACCTATCATCTACTGTTAGTTGCCCTTTCTTCTCTCTTTTTGAAACATTTGGAAACATAATTACATAGTCTGTCTGCTATACATTCGTTCTTGCATGACATCAAGTGTTTAAACGTGTCCTGCTTTGACATTTTCTTGCATATCTTGTCTACCATAATTGTAAAATATCGAATAGTTCTTGGCGTTCATCTTTATATAATGTACAGTCAAGTAGAAGTGTATCTTGTTTTCAACATATAAATGATTACAGAATACTGCGTATTACTAACTACAAAGACTGCAAAGCTGCATACCTGTACCAAGTTAGCATCTTCAGGTGGGTTGTACACAGGTCTCTCTCCCTTCCTGGTGCTGAGGTTACGCAGCAGTTGTCTGTCCTGTAGTATGTCAAACAGCGGTTCTACAAGCTGGGACCGTAGACTGTAGTCATACACCGGCCGAGGGACGGGGTCTTTCAGAACACTCAGGAGAACAACCTGCGTAAGGAAACAAAGTTAGCCTCCGTAGCAGGCTTATAGAACTGGAGGTTTGGTGGTCTTCGGCTGTTTTCTGATTAGCCCAGTTAAAAAAATAGGGGTAATTCAACCAGGCCAGCTATGTTGTCTATATGCAATCAGAAATAGCACATAAAAGCTCCCAAAGACCATGAAGACCCCAAAAACCCCCAGTTTTTGGCATGCTATGGAGGCTAAAACAAAGTGGCATTGAATGCCGAATGGTTAGATGAGCTGACACAAGTTCGATTCTTGACATTGTGTCCTTGGGAAAGGCACTTTAACAACTTTCCTCACTCCACCCAGGTACTAGGTATGAAATGGGTACCTGGCTTTTAGCCTGAGTGTCAGTCTTGTTAGCTTTCAGGTCAGAAATTCACTCATGTGGAACAAATGTCTGAAGTTTGCCGAATCTTGATGTATTCAGCTAGCAACTGTGACAAGAGGATGGTTTCAATTACGGTAGTTAACCCGCTTGCACTGTAGAAGATTTCTTACAAAAACAGAGATAAATACACTGTATAGTACATACTGTGTATCATACTAGTACATGTGTATATAGAGAGTTCTAGTCTTCAACATCACATTAAAATATAGTTTCCTTCATTAAACAAGACTGGCAATGAAAACATACATTGCCATGGCAACGGTGGTTGCTGTTAGGGTTATTGTTATTGTTTGCATGGCACTGACAATGATTTTGAGGAAGACTTAGTACCTGTTAAGTCTAGACAGATACAGTGCACTTCTCCCCTGAGTGTATAGTGAATGAGCCCTGGGGTCACATGTACAGAAAGTAGGGCCATCTGGGGAAGAGAGATCTTCCCAAGGGTTTCCAGGAATGTGGGCATAGATGTGGGTCAGAGACATGTACATGTGTATGTGGACATTCCATGCCTGTGGACAAAATGCCTCTCCTCCCCTGAGTGGCTTCCCAAGAGTTTCCAGGAATGTGGGCATAGATGTGGGTCAGAGACATTCCTATGGACAAGATGCCTGTACCATTCCTAGAATTCTTGCAAACTGCACACAGTACTGTACCATTAGGCTCCTCCCTGAGACGTCACCAAAAAATGTGATTGCATCACTTACTTCCTTGTCCACCTGTACAATGGGCATCCTGATGTAGGGTTCCAGTTTGGGGATCAGGTTACAGTGGACGTCCGCCACGTTCAGGGTCCGCGCCATCGCCGAGATGAACCCCACCGCACCGTGCCGGATCCACGCGTTCTACAGACATGTCAAAGGTCAAGGTCAAACTGTCTCTTCATAAATATTGAAAGATAACTATCATGAAAGTTCATCTGTGTTGGTAGTTACATGTTTAAAGTTAAATCTTTTGGTCCAACACAAAATATTCTCTCACCTAGAGCTTTCGGTCTGTGACAATATATTTCTTCTTCATATACTCTAATAATACTCTCTGATAGGTATTTTAACAAAAATGTATGAGACATGACATTTATTCAGAAATTTGGTTATAGAAACTGTGTTTGGTGAAATGAATGCTATTCAGCACCAAGGAGAGGGAAAATGCATGAATGCAATGATCATTCAGCACCAAGGACAGGGATACCTACTATAAAGTAATCAAACATCTAACACATTTGAGCCAACTCTAGGGGGCATGTATGAAACTTATTCAATGAAATGAAAGAATATCATATAAATGCTACTCACAACCATTGTGAAAAAATATATTTAAATCTAATTACCATGATGATGCAAGTTCTGTCCTGCATTAGATTCTGGATGACTTTAATACCATGCTTTTTTCTGTACTTACCGGATGACAGAGGAAAGGAACCACATCGGAGGCAAAGTCATAGACCATGGGCTTCTGTAGCAGTCCCAGTTCACATAGACACGTCAGGGCATTCAGGGTCTTACAGATCACAAACTCTTCTGTGTCACTCAGACCCTGCATGTATGGAAGGTACAAAATACACAATGTACATGTATTAGATGGGTACAAAACATTTCCTGGTGAATCGATATCACACAGAAACATTTGGTCCAGAAAAAAACAACAGGAGAATAGGACTTGGACTAAGTGTTATTTGGATAAGACATGTAAATACAGATATCAATATGATTGAATGTCTAGCAACTTAAGACACACAAATGCCTGCACTGTTGTAAATGTGGTCTTGGTCTTTAGGGTTAAGGTAGCCAACATCAACTTGCTGATGATTCTGCTATACTGTAGTATTTGGGCTGTAGAATTCTGGACCATTGCACACCGGGGCATGCCCCTACTCTTTTTCGAAAGGTGTGGTGGGATCTTTAACATGCGTGGGGTGTGGCTCTCCTCAAACATGGGACCTCCAGTTTACGTCCTATCCGAGGGACGTCCCTAACTGAAGCTAGGTACTCATTTACACCTTAGTGAAGTGAGGAAATTCGTGTAAAGTGCCTTTCCCAAGGGCACAAGATCGGTGACATGGGTGGGGATCGAACCCTGGACCTGTAGGTCCCGAGCCAAATGCGCTACCGCTGCACCACACGACCCCACAACATCATCACAATGTTAGGAGGGCCTTACACTAGTTATAGCAAAAAGATGCAAAATTCTGAATGGATGGTTTCACAACAATAAATTTTTTCATTGTTTTAATGAAGGGAAGCTTAATTTTGAGCCTTTATCTGGCATATACTTCACTTCTATATAATACATAGATTCATCATGTATTCATCCACAATCACAGCAAGAATCTATTTTATACCACAGCCAAACATAGTGATTTTTTCTCACAACTTTAACAATTCAGTTTGTTGTTATCAACCAATAGCAGTGCTGCTGTCTTTTAGGAAATGCATGTTGTTTTTCCAAATTAGGCCACACCGATTTAATTTTATGGATGACATCCTCTGAAGACCCCCAAACTAGTGCGTGCGGGCGAATAAAAAAAAAATTTCGGCCAAAAATAAAAATGCTACTAAAGCACAGGAATACAAAGCTAGTATTGTGAATTATACGACAAGCCGGTACATGCTGGCTTTTTGCAGCATCTATGAATCGGTACTGTACTTATGTACTGAGTCGTGGAGCTTCGAATTAGATAGCCTGGGTGCTCGGCTCCGTTTTGTCGCTGACTACCATGGACTACCCAGGCCTAGAGCCAGGCCAGAGCCTCGGTGGACGTGATCTTTTTTTTTTTTAGGGCAACAGGTGAAAATCAATGCCCACATGGATGTCATCAATAAAATTAAGTCGTTGTGGCCTTACGTACCTGTTGAAGAAGGGGTTTAAGAATGCTGGAGCTCTGCCAACCCACATAGGTAGCCACACCCACAATACAGTCAAAGAAGGCTCCTCTCAGGTGCCAATCATTCTGAAATTTACATATCAGGAAATTTTGCATTCAGTGACTCACTGTACATGACATACATGTATAATCTCTACTGGTAGGTCAGTCAATTCTACTGGGCACAAAAATGACGTAGCCAAAAAATTGTATGATTGTAGCTACAAATTTGCTGAAGATATACACACTGTAACATTAGAAGATGGTGAGTCACTAGGTTAACATTTAATGTATGAAAATGTTTGCATTTAATGCTTAAAAACGTTTTATGTTAGGCTCATGGAAAAAACACCTAGAAGAAATACATTTTTTCTGAAAGTGAAATAAAATGTACATGAAGGTCTCTTACCTTATCATTCAGAAAAGTGATCATATGAGATAGCAATACATCGTTTGCTGAAAAAAGGAAAAAAAAAGAATGAAAAATTGCAGACCCACTGATTCTGAAGCAAAGAAAAGTGAAAAACTTTATTTTTTATTTTATTTTTTTTTATTTTATGAAGATTTACCACATTTGTGGAAGGATTGACATAGTCAGGTGACTATCACCTTTTTCAAAGATGCCAACCCCGAGACAAGACTGTAAGGTTTGAACCACTCACACCGGGAAGGTCCCCTACTCTTTTCGATAAGTGCGGGGGGTAACGTGCGTGGGGTGTGGCTCTCCCAAACACGGGACCTCCATTTAACGTCCTATCCGAGGGACGTCCCTAACCAAAGCTAGGTACTCATTTTCACCTGAGTGAAGTGAGGAAATTCGTGTAAAGTACCTTTCCCAAGGGTACAACGTCGGGGCGCATGTTCGGACTTGTTCGGGTACGACCCGGAATCGAACCCGGGTCTCCCCGTTTCGGAGTCCAGTGATGTACCACTACACCACACGACGCCATTTTTTTCTGTCTAGTTTATTTTACAAAGTCAACACAATCTATACCATAAGACCAGGTAGCAAAAAACTATTAACAAAATTCCTTTGTGCCTAATGACAGAAGTTGTGTTTTCTTTTACCTTTTTGTCGCCCAAAGAACACACATAGTCTGGTGATACCATTTTCAAGAAGGGTTTGTTTCACTGTATTTTCCTGTGAATAAAAGAAAAAAAATTAATATCTCATATCATTTTACATCATCAACAGTAATTCATGCTCAATTTGCTGGTTAAATATTTATGAATCAAACAACTGTTAGACAGTACAAAGGTCAAACATTTTATTTGAAGGTCAAAGACACACAGAACTTACAGAGTCACTGAGTAGAGTGACGACTTTCTGTTGGATCATCTCATGCAGGGCTTGTAGTTCTGTATCATAACTGCCCTGGGTTGGAAAGACAGAAATATTCTCCATGTACTAGCCATTTTTTTTACACCACAATGATTTTATGATTAAGTAATGTTCAGAGAATGTACTCCACTGGTACAGTCAACCAAATAATCATTCCTACCATTCTTCTTAAGAGGTCAGTGCAAAAACCGAGAAAATAAAACTACTGCAAACATTTCAAGATTTACAGACGTGTAATACATTGTTGGGACATATTATTTCACTCCACAATGTTCTCATGATTATCTTATGAGATGTTCAGGGAAATGAAATGTACACCACTGTTCCAAAAACCGTGCAAAAACCGAGAAAATAAAACCACTGTAAAGATTTACAGTTTAACATATAATGACAATATAATATTATGACATACCTGGAACTGCACACTTGGATCTTGTACAACATCATTGTCCTTATCCTGGTCAGAACCCTGGTTCAACTGGACAAGCTCTAAGAACCTAATTAGGACATCATTGCAGAGGTTTTAAGAAAATAATAAGGACATCGTTGAAGAGGTTTTAAGAACATAATTAGGACATTGTTGAAGAGGTTTTTTTCTAATTAGGACAGTAAATAGTAAAATGTAAAGTCTCTGGTATGACCCGGCGTGGGGTTTGAACTCACAACTTCCCGGTTACAAAGTACTCTTCCCTCTCTCTATCCGGTTTATCGTCTATTGTACTGATGTACACAAAGATACAGACTGACCTGAGAGCAGTCTCTGCAAGCACTGCGATGTTTTCAGCATACGCTACACGGACCGCTACTACTTCATCCTGGGTTAGGTGGGACTGTAGGAGACACAAACATGTACAACTAGAATTCCGAGACCTCATACCTCCATGAAATATGATCTTGATATGTAAATGTAAATTTCTTCTTTAATTGTGCAAATGACCTCTGCATTAACATGATATATGCATCGTGATGTATGTTAACTTTTGATTAACTTACAGATGTCCCAAGTATGCCATTCTCATCATTCACCATTACGAAATCATAGAATTTTCGCATTAATTATGGAAATTAGGTCATCATTTGCATAATTAGTATCTGTTGAAGTTCCACCTGCCATAGGTTACATACATTACATGTATGTAAGTAGTATAATGTAAAACACTGTAATTATAGAATTTCCTCATTAATTATGCAAATAAAGTCCTCATTTGCATAATTTGCATTTAATTATGTACATCTCTCTCTCAGCTACCTACACACCAAAAATAATGAAAATATGTTGTTCCTGTCTGGACTTATTGGCTTTTAAACATTTCGCCAGAAAGTGCCCTGCAGTTCCAGAACAAGCCGCTACGGGGCCCAAACTCATATGACTTCTTCCCAAGCACGAGAGCTACCTTCCATCAAAATTTCATGACCCTAGCATGTCCAGATCGCGAGATATCAAAACCGGAAGTTGCGCTGCAGTACCAAGGGAAGCCACTAGGGGGACCAAAATCTCATCATTTCCAGTTTTCGTCACACCCTACCAACACACCAAGTATGAAACCAATCCATCCAGGCGTTCTTGAGTTATCTTGTTGACCAACAGACAGACGGACGGACGGACGGACGGACAGATAAACGCAACTGAAAATATAACCTCCATGACACATTTCATGGAGGTAATAAATGATAAACATGTAGTAAACATCCTTAGAAATATCATGAAAGAGATTGTTCCAAACAAACTCTTTCTTATTATTTTCTTATTATTTCTTTATTTCAGGCATAACTCGCCCATATACAACATACATATAAAATACACACACAATTACATCAGTAAAAGAATAATAATTATATTTCAGTCCATACCATGGTATGGATGAAATATATTGTGTTCTCTGATGTTTCTTCTCCTTCTTCTTCTCCTTCTCCTGCCACACAGTCAGAGGGATTCAACTCCACTATCATTCAGCCAAATGACTTGAAATTTGGCATGGAGGTAGAGTGAGCCAATACCCCCAGGCGTTTTTTTCATTTTTTTGATACATGCCTTTGAAAAATTTTTATGAAGGTTTTTTGGGGCATTTTTCGACAAAAAATGGATTTTTGGATCCTGAGCCCTGGTTTTACAACCAATAATGCTCTGAAATTCGGTATAAGGGTACCTTGAACATGTGTCTACAGAATAGCAGTCACATATTTGGCATACACCACTTCCAAATGACTCATTTGGGGGACTTTAATGGCTATTTTCAGCAAAAAAGGGCCAAAAGTGCTATACCCGTTCCATGTTCTATCTAAAGAATGGCCTGTTCCATCTGCCGTTGGCCATGGAACACGTGTTCCATAGCGGGTTACCTGAGGTCACATTGCACGTAAGTCGTGCAGAATGACCCACACATTCAATTTTATGTGCCTAAGACCTTCAAAATGTATCAAATCTCATCATTGTTAGTATTTGCATACCTGTAATAAGACTAGTAAAGCTTTCGAGATTCAATGTGCTTGTTCTTGCATCTTTGTTCTCAATTACATAGCTACTATATAATTCATTTATTTGAGAATCTTTACCAGTTTTACACTGGGGTAAGTTTGGAATAGTCCACTTTTGCGTGGGAGGGAGATGGACTGAAATATGCTGTATTTGCTCCCAAGCAAATGTCGGCCTCTCTAGTTATGACTATATGTACAGACGGGCCCAGTTATTGCGAAAGAATCTGCTGCGGAATATCACTTCAGATTTAAGAACAGATTGGATAATGTTGTTTGAGGACTTGTATAGACGGGATATGAATGAGTAACATTGTTTACGCCATGTAGCATCAAATGTGTCAATCCTATTGTAGACAAAAATTTCACTTACACTACAAAATCTGGGTAGTGACATTATGATGCGAAGACAGTTATTGTAAGCAACTCGACACTTTGATACAATTCTAGAACTAGCTCTGTCCCACAACTGTGCAGCAAAAAGGTGGGAGCAATGAGCTGTAAACAACGTCTTTTTAACATATGAAGAACAATAAGCAAATTTGCGTGTAATAGTATTTGCACGGCTATACAGACCTCTTATCTGGGTAAGAATACAGTCGTCGTCACTCAGTTTGTCATTAATGTGAATACCGAGGTAAATATACCAACACAGACAAACTTTCACGCTTATTGACACATCAAGTAGGAAACTGCAGTCCTAGTTAGTACATTGTCAGTATTAGAATGTACTGAATGTCAGAGGTTGTACTTACCAGGTTGGGCAGAATGTACTCTGGGAAGATGTTGGCATCACTACATACAAAAGTGTACAGAAACATATTTTAACACATTGTGGATATACATGTGTAAGTGATTCACCAAAATGGATACAGAACCTAGTATGGTAAATGTAAGTATTAGGTTGTATACATTTAATGATTGCAATAAAAAATGTCATCACTGATTCAACTTCTGCTAAGCTTACAAATGATATGAATGAATTTTTTTGATAAAATATTTATACAATCATATTACACACAACAAAAGTTCAGCTATGCTGGGGAGCTTTCGAGACGTACTCTGTCTCTTCATCAACCCGATTCAGATCTCATCTTGGAGTTCTCTTGTCACGTGACTTGATGTGATAATCACGTGACAAGAGACAATCTTATATACAGGTTTCAGGTAGTGACGCTCCCTGTCCTATGAATGAAGCTTTAAAGAATGACAAAACACTGTTACAGTTAATACAATGCATTGCAGTCATACCTTCTTGGGACAGTCTTGACAAAAGAGAGACACCTAGTGAGAGTTTTGAGTGCTGCAGCTCTGACGTGAGGAAATGGATCGTTCACCATGAAGAGCTACATGGGAGGGATAACATATAACTTGCATTTAATGATTATGACACTCCAAAACTTAACTCACAAGATAGAATGCACTAGATTCTATCCAATTAAGAATTATTAAAATAAAAAATACCTAACTTTACATTTAACCAATGTTGATACATGCAGTTACATTTGTAAGAAATAAGAGTGTCAAATTAAATTTTGAAGAGTTAGAAATTATACTGTCCTCAAATGTTGTTCTCCTTTAATATATTTACATATTCTTAAAAAATATGGAATGACCCTACAATATATTTAATACATATTCTTACCATATATGGAATGAGCCTATAATATATTTACATATTCTTACCATATATGTAATGAGCCTACAATAATTTACATATACATACCATATATGGAATGACCAACAATAATTTACATACACTTACCATATACGGAATGAGCCAACAATAATTTACATATAGTGATAACTGATATACTTACCATATATGGAATGAGCAAACAATAATTTACATATACATACCATATATGGAACGAGCCAACAATAATTTACATATACCAACCATATATTGAATGGGCCAACAATAATTTACATATACATACCATATATGAAATGAGCCCACAATAATTTACATATTCTTACCATATATGGATTGAGCGTACAATACATTTACATATTCTTACCATATATGGAATGAGCCTACAATAATTTACATATTCTTACCATATATGGATTGAGCCTACAATACATTAACATATTCTTAGTCTTACCATATACGGAATGAGCCTACAATAATTTACATAATATTCTTACCTTATATTGAATGGGCCAACAATAATTTACATATACATACCATATATGGAATGAGCCTATCGAGGATGATGTCAGAAGGAACATGTTCTGCCATGGATAACAGCAGTTCTAGAGCCATCAGCTTAGACACACAAAACTGCCGGGACAAACAGGTGGATAGAAAGGAGTATTATGAAAAACATTTTGTCCTGGAATGCCCATTGTACAGAGATCTACGCATCTCTCTCTTTAACACTATTAAACTGGGCCAGAGATTTACAAAGTTAACAAATGACGAACTGTTCACACACATAATGTCATCGTCTAAACACCTGGTGATTGAGAAACTCTGTGAATTCGTATACGCATGTCTCAAGAGGAGAGAAGAAACTAGTAAGCTATTGTAAGCTCTAGAGTTAGATGAATTATAGTACTAGTATACATTTTGTCATCTGTTGTTCCCCGACTTCCGAGGGTTAGACGTGCTTGCACAGAAATACTGCGGCTTGATGGTAGCCCACCATTTGTCTCTGTCTTGTGGGTTTACGTTATGTAGGTTCAAGTCGTGGAAGTCCTCCCTTACATTGTTAAACCATAATTATATTTTCTTCTTTGGTCGACCACAAAGGTTTGGGCCTTCCACACCCAGTGTCAGGATCTTCCTAGGCCATTTGTCACTGACTATTCTTTGAAACATTCTCTGAGGCCACACCAATTTTAATTTCTTGGTTAACAGATTTTTCTAGAAAAATAATGGAGCGGGCGGGCGAAAAAAGGCCTATATAGGCATCCTATTATGGCCCAAAATGGTACCATAGGAGCCATGAAGTCAACACACCAGGCTGGTTCAAAATATAAACAATGAATTTTGAACTTTTAATGATACCATTGCATTGAAAGATTGAAGAACTGTAACAACTTGGATGAAAAGGACTGTTTTTAACTGTTCAGGGCAAAATACGAGCATTTTGCAGTTAATTCTGAATTTTTATTTTTATTTGCAAATCAGAAAAAAATGAAGCGGGCGAATCCGTTAACCAAGAAATAAAATTGGTTTGGCCTTATAACAAATATTGGTGAGGAATTTTTAAACTTTACATGAAAAAGCTCTGACCTTCAGACTCCTGACTGTAGAAGTGATGAGGGAAATGATGACCACCAGCCCAGCTGTGTCACTCCTGACCTCTGACCCTTCCTTCCCATCATCCCCTTCTTGCACCAAGTTCATCAGGATTTTGTCAAGGTCATTCTTCAACCTGAAGACAAAGATTTTAAGTACTAGTATGAAGCTGGTGCTTGGTAGCTATTCAAAACACAATTTGTCCTTTACTACATTCGAGAAATTGCAAAATGTTCATAAGTATTAAATACAAATTTCTAAAATGACATGGGTTCAGTCGTTCTGAAATATGAAAAATTATGGGGAAGTAAAGTCAGTTATAAGGCATATCATAACAAGAAGACTTTCACATGTGCATGCTAAAGTAGTATACAAAAAGCAGACTACAGAAGATGGAGACAAACATGATGTTATGATATGTGATGATGTACAAAAAGATAATATTAAGTATATAAGTGAAGTTAGGGAACAAGGTGTTGGAATTTTCATGCAGGGTTTGGAGGAAATAAACCACAAAAGAATCTAACCTGGATATTTTATCATCAGTGAATACAGAGAACATTTCAGTTGAGCTACGTGTGGAGGGGTCAAGAGAGAAATACCAGAGGAAAAAAAAGACAGAAGAGAATAGGACAAATAAATATGAAAGCATAGAAAGCAAACTTGAAAGGATTTTAGAAAACAATTGTGGTAGAAAGAGACACTAGAGTTGGGTGTGTTTTTGTATAAAATTGAAGGTAAACTACAAAGGGAGTTTGGCTTTTTCTTTTAATAAGTGTATGATACAGTATAACTATATAGTACACAAGGTACACATTAAATACAATTGCATATCATTAACTTAATCCTTTATGTTCAAAACACCTAGACCAACACATTTTGGCTACAAGGACAGGACATCAGCATCACATTAACACACTATTCACACATACCTCTGTAATGCTACTCACTTGCTTTTTTTTATCTCTAAGGCCACACCAATTTAATTTCTTGGTTAACGGATTTTCGTAGAAAAATAATGGAGCGGGCGGGCGAAAAAAATAAAAAATAAAAACAGGCCTAGGCATCCTATTATGGGCCAAAATGGTAGGATAGGAGCCATGAAGTCAACACACCAGGCTGGTTCAAAATTTAAACAATGAATTTTGAACTTTTAATGATACCACTGCATTGAAAGATGGAATAACTGTAACAACTAGGATGAAAAGGACTGTTTTCAACTGTTCAGGGCAAAATATGAGCATTTTGCAGTTGCTTCTGAATTTTCATTTTTATTTGCAAATCAGAAAAGCGGGCGAATCCGTTAACCAAGAAATTAAATTAGTGTGGCCTAACTTAGAGTTGGTAAACTAAGCTCTTGGCAATTGAATATAAAAATTATATACTTGCACATAGTACATTTCTTGCAAGACATTGTCATTACAGTTGCTCGCTACATAAAAGGACACCTTAAAATGCATGACTGTGACTAGAGACAGGTGTTGTAGCATACCTGGCCACCTTGTCATCAGGTGCCATGATAGGTGTGCCAGCAAACCTCCCCATGTACAGCTTCAGAAACGTGTAGAAATAGTTGGGGAAGGCCTTTCCTGTACATGTGGAGTAAGTATGATATTATTTTTTTTGGCAAAGCCTCTGGGGCAAAGTGACAATTGCAGAAAATTGATTTTGAAAAAAAATTTTCCTGTTTCAGTCCTGAAAAAATTAGGGTCAGTAGGTAGGGATTATCTTTTTTTTTCTTTCTCTTTTTATTAGACTTTGGCAATCGCTAGTGATTGAACTTAATACAATACAGTAAAACAACAAGTAAAACATGCATGAGGACACTGTCTTATATTTTCAATGTTAGAGTTGGAACACTGATTGTAAAGAGTTTCATCACTCAAGTGTCAGATCAAGGAGCAAGAAAAGGTTGATCAGCTCAAAAAAAGTTGTCCCTTGCAGGGGTCCACACAAAAAAAGTCTAGGGTCGGCATCGGCTGCTTTTTCTAGGGTCGGTCAGGAAACAGGAAACACATTTTTTTTCTAGGCTCATGTACATGTAGTTTTTTTCTATCAAACATTTAAAACAAGGTTTTCATTTATTTGCTGGATCATAAATTAAAAGTGACAAAATTAGTGCTATACAAAGAATTTTCTGAGTATTTGAACTTGATACTTTATCACAAACCTTGCCACTGTTTTAGATACTCTTCAGCCGACAGTCTCTTGGCTGGGTCCCGCTGTATCATGTGCTCTACAAGTTCCTGAAATAAAAGGAATAATTTGTTTATGTGCATTTTGAAACATGCACATGTACACAATCATGCAAATGTATACATTGTTTTATAATTTATGCATGCATGTTTTACATTCTAAACACTATACAGTCACACACAATTACATACAAAATTAATGTACAATACTCTTCATGTTGGAACTAAGGCTTAAACTTTGTAACTATAAAAAATACTATTTTCCTCTCAATCTATAACTGAACCTGCTAAAATTTCCTTCAAAATGGAATCACTCCACGTACAAGCACATTCAAAACCTGACCATTTTGTTAAGAAAGTAAAATTCATACTAGAAAGGTAACATTTGCAAGGCAAATGCATAATGTTTTCCTTTGCATATGGTCTGCTCTGTTAATTCTTAATCAAACACATTGAATTTCATACATATGGTGACAGCAGTCTAAATCCCTCCTGCTATGAAATTGCAACATTTTTTTTTTTTTTTCAACCTTTATTTAACCTTGAAATGTACAGTACATGTGTGTATCAGTACAACTCTTCGGCCTAAGCCGTTTTTCAAGAGGTCAAGGGGAGGTAGGTCAGGGGTCTTTGCAAATTCTTCGGTTCAGTTACAATCAATAGAATCAATAGAATCAATTACAATATAAATATATACAAAGTGTACAAAATTCAAACACTCTCTCGGTATCTCAGTATCAAACATCCAAGTTCACATATTTAGTCGTTCTAAGTTGCTTGACGCAGCCGGTTTTTAAAAGCTGCAACTGACGTAGCCGTTCTTAGCTCAGTTGATAAGTTATTCCACAGTACTGATCCTGAGTATCATCATATAACGCATCATATCATATCATATAACACATCACATCATATAACGCAACATTAGTTACCATACGGCTATTCCGAGATCAGGGTGCGCCAATGGCATCGTGCATTGTTATGTCAATCTTACTCTGTATTTATCGCATTCTGTTGACATTTATCAAACTTGTTATACTAGTACAGTTATTTTCCAGACAATCAGGAAGAGATTTGGTGTTAAGATGTTTAAAACTTATGCTATGGCCAATTTAAGACCAGAAATTGGCATAAAATCTACGTTATGCTGTTGCACTTGAAAAATGCCAGTTTTTGAAATATGCTTTTAAGTAATTTGGGAACAAAAAAATGGAATGAAAAGATTTGCAATATGTTCAGACATGCTCAGTCTGATATGTTTTGGAAAAAACCTGATGATGATTGGAAATTTCTCTTTTCTAGAGCGCATTTATCAATATGTTGTACACGTTATGTAAAATTCATAAATTAACACATTGCAATTAACTTATCTCCCTGTACTAAAAAGGATGGTGATAGAACTGGCCATTTTGCATGTTATGCAAGGTACATCCATATATGACACAAAACATGTGTTTTTATGTTGCTTGTCCTTTGGGTTAATATGGCTGATGGCTTACAGTTACCTGTCTTTTTTGTCCGAGAAAATGTGTAGTGTCCGTTGCTCGGTAATAACTTAAAATAGAAAAGCTGTGGGTGCATATGATTTCAGGTTTTGAAACAGCTGAAGATGCTGACTTAAAACACAGTAGCTATTTCAGTCTATTGCTGTAATTATATGAAATAATGTCAAAAAACCTCAAGGGTGTAGTGTCCGTTGCCATGTAGTGTCCGTTGCCAAGTATACCATATAGGTACATTAATTACATTTTGTTGCAATTTTGAAGTAATTTTGTCATTTATGTTATTTCTGTAGCATTTTGTCAACCCCTTAATGACAGGTCTTGCAAGATTTGGTGTTCTTGTCATGTACTTGAGCGGCCAGATGTGGCCGGCAACGGACACTACAGCTTAGCTGTAGTGTCCGTTGCCGGCCACATCTGAAATGAGTGGGCTAAAGTTTGGAAGAGCACAACTTTTGAACTGAACGTCTCTATCCAAAAATTTAAAAAGTGCAATGTATGGCAACACCTCTAGATCGATTTTCTGCACTGAAAGTAGAAAAATATAAAACTTGAAAAATTGGCCCAAGTGCAACCCTTTGGCGCACCCTGATCTCGGAATAGCCGATAGCAACAGACATACATGTACATGTAACATTGGTTCAGGTCAGAGGTCACTGTTTGGAGAAGAAGAAGAAACTGAGCAAAACCAATATGTTTTCCTTCGGTAAACATAATTAATCATAACATCATTCAGAGAGTACCCACCCTAATATGTTCATCCTCTATTTTCTTGAGGGTGTGTTTGGGGTAGAACTCCTCTTTCTTGTAAGCCAGGAGTTGAGACAGGTCGAACAGCGGACTCCCCTCTGTAAACAGCTCTGCTATCACACAACTGAGGAACGAAACACGGCAATCAGAGATGGCAGACTTCACCCCCTTATTTTATGCATACTGCTTTGCAACCCTTCGTGTCTTATAGCAGCACTGAGGATGCATGGTACATGTACTAGTATGGAGCATGGTGTATTGCAAAAATAAACATGCATATCATCATCATCATCATGCCTCCGGATTATAATAATCCACTTGATAAAGTTACTCCAGTATGTAGTATCTCTCATAGCGGACACTAATGCAGTCCCTGCGAGACCAGTGTCTCTCTCTAGCATGGACAAAACTGTAGTACTATAAGGACGTCCCACTCTACGTCTCCCAGTAGGAAGCCACTGTATTAGTCTACCAGCTGGTTCGTTACTACGAACAACATGCCCTGTCAGGGCTACAGATGAATTGGACGGGAGAGAGCCATAGAGTTGTTTGTTTGTTAGATGTTGTCTGGTGATGAATTGATATTATTGTTTTTACAGTCAACTTGACTTTGTTTCAAACACTTCTTTATATCCTTTTCTTCCTACCGAAAATGTCATGACGTCTTTAAAAATACAAGCAGTTCCATTGTACCTGTTGACGTAATCTTAAAACAAACAAATACTTAATCCCATAAACCCCTTCTTGGAACCACCAGTCAGACTTCCTGCTTGCATAGCCTTGGCTTTAGGGAGATAGGGTAAGTGAACATTATTCATTTGTCACATAAGTGTACATAGTAGATTCATTACCTTAAGCTTTGCTAAGAAGGTTCTAAAAAAAATTAGTTTGTTTTGTGTGTATGCATTGTGTAAAACTATGTGTGTGCAATATGTGTGTGTGTGTGTGTGTGTGTGTGTGTGTGTGTGTAACTATGCATGTGTGTGTGTGTGTACTATGTGTGTGTGTGTGTGTGTACTATGTGTGTACTATGTGTGTGTGTCTGTGTGTGTGTGTGTGTGAACAGCATAACAAATGGGACGTTTTGTATTATTATTAAATATTGTTCATTTCATACTTAGGAATCTACAAAATTAATGTAGTTGACAGTTCTGAGTAATCAATTTATACTGACTGTACATACTCATGTACAATGTATTTTTTTTGTTCAAACAAGTCAGAAACAGACAATAAAAGCCCTGTTTCACATTTTAAAAAACACCACAAACAACAGAATGTGTTATCTGTTCTGGTCGTTGACCAAGAATTTCCCTGGCGCTCACAACATTTGTGTGTGCCGTGCCGTTCCACTTCACACTTCAGCTGCAGAGAATCCTAAACCATTTAACCGTGTGCACCTGTTTGGGAAGGGTCCCTAGGGGGCTTGGACAACGCTCTTGTCAGGTGAAATCTATTGATGGTTCTACGCTAACCGGTTAACACAGAACCCCTTTTAGAGCCTCTGTGCACCACTTTCTGCATGAACAGTAGAGTATTCAGGACTGCCACATGCTTCTTTCCCCAGGAAATGTCAAAGGTTGCAAGTGAACGAACAGTACAGTACACACATCTTCAAAGATTTAAGGCCACACCAATTTGATTTGTTGTTTCTTGGATTTTTCCAGAAAAAATATGAAGCAACAGGGCAAAAAAAACAGGCCAAGGCACCCCATGAAGGCCGGAAATGTTACGATATGAGCCATAAATGTCAATAGATTTTAAAACTTTTATTAAGTTTTAATGAAACAAAATTGCATTGTTACATTGAAAAACTTTAAGAACTAAGAAGAAAAGGACTTTCTTCAACCATTGGGACCAAATTTCATTGAGCATTTTGCAGTTAATTTAGAATCCAAAGAAAATTTTTTTTGCAAATCAGAAGAAAATGGACAGGGCGATCCGAGAAGCAACAAATTAAATTGGCATGGCCTTAAAGAACTAAACACAAAATTTCCATCACTGAATATTTCTCACTCCATCTTGAAATAGTCGGTTAAATTTTATGGTAACTTTGGACAGTGCATCTATGTCAGATGATATACTATTTACTAGTATCTGTATTGAGCATTGGTACATCTTTTATGATAAAGCAGCTATTAATAATAATGACGTGGTGTATTTTGTAAGACAAGCATTGAACGTTTATGGCAGAAAAACTTTCTGGTGTGTGACTGAAGCTATATTGTGGTCCACTCCAGTCTTTGCCTTTAAAAGGGTTTGTTATGAGTAAACAGTTCAGGTAAGCTGGCCAGAGGTGTTATATTACACATCTGTAGAACAACAAACAAAGTGACAATAAGTCGGTACACAGGGAGGTGCCATATAAGGCCTAAGCCGACATACCCAACACTTTACAGTAGACAGTTGTGACGGACTACTTCATTTCTCTCCCGGGGGTGATTGAAGTAAAATTATCATATCTGCATCATTTCATAAACGATTATGTTTTACTAGTAGTGATATTATTTAAGATTTGTGTTATTAAACACCTGTATACAATTTTATAGTTTAATTGAGAGAAAGAAAACTTATCAAAAGTTCGATGGTATGTTTTTTAACAAACTGATGAGTGGCTTAAGTTGGTATCTCCCATTTCACATCTTCAAGACAGTGACAGCAGAACACACTTGAACCACCGATGTCTTAAGTTCTGAAGAAGAACAGACCACCTGGCAAGCGTGAAGAATGTTTTCTGGTGCCGTTACGTCCGATTTATGGAGAGATAATCCCGGACAGGAAGTTTAAACACACTGACTGAGTGTGTTTCTTCACAGAATTTCAGGAAGTGTGTTTTTCTCACAGACAGGTAAGGTTTTCCTCTGAGTTTTGTCTAGATATATGCAAAGAACACGAAATTCCCTCTGGATTTGTCAACTGTTCACAAACAGCCACCTTTGGGTCACCAGTCTATACTTTTCTTCTAGTTTTAAGCTAGTTTTGTACCTTTAAAGGGAAAGTTCTGCTAGAATAAGAGTGAACGGAAACATGATCACAGATCCATTGTGGTACATTAGTATCTAGTTACATGCCCGTGTGTTGGGCTAATGGATTTAGAGGTGAGAATCCCAAAAAACACTAACAACTAGTAAATACATTAGGAAAGGAGCTAAATGTGTCAAACTGATGAAAGGTAGTGGATGCTACCTGAAACGTCTGACCGTTCCCAAAATCATATCCAGTTGCTTGAGTAACTGTTTTTTGGTGCATCTTATTACCTGGATGTCTAACCTTCAACGACGTATGATGAAACAGTGTTTACCATTTTAAACATGTAACTTAAGTTTGCTATGATATGAATATGATGGACTATCACAATCAAAACAACTCCCCCTCTGTTACATTGGTAGTGACTGATATGTAAAATTTGGAAGTTGGCCATGCCAAAATGCATTTATTTACAAAGCACATCTGATATACCCCCTTCCTCCTTTCAACTAGTACTGTCAGTGGCAGAGTAAAAAAAATGTCAGTACTGCAAAGACATATCAAACAAGTTGATTAATATTATTTTTTTATGAATACATGTACACAATCAAAACAAAATGTACTATCATGTACATCATAAAAATCGTTCGTGTGGTGCAACGGCAGCGTGCACGACTCGGAATCAAGAGGTCCCGGGTTCGAGTCCTGACATGCCACCGATCTTGTGCCCTTGGGAAAGGCACTTTACACGACTTTCCCCACTAGACTCAAGTGAAAATGAGTATTGTCTGTCCAGTATTCGTTTCTATGTGCGGGACACAACACCAGCAACAGCTGCCTCTGTTCCGCGTGTATTGCACTCACCCCGTCTGTTACAATTTCAATAAAATAAAATAAAATAAAATGTACATCATCATCTTTTGTTTTTCAGCTACACACGTCTACATAAAACAACATGATGGTCTTTGACTGGATGTTAAGGAGATCCACATTTCTTCTGCTGTGTCTTGGATTCTTTCTTCTCTCAACAACGACTGGAGATCCTTCCTACAAACTAGGAAGACAACTTCTGACAGTGACTGTTGACACCTCAACAGTACCTACCGGTACCACTACTGGTACTACCTCCAAAAATGGTGGTACTAGAGTTGTAGGTACTTCTTCCCAAGGTACTGTGGGTATTTCTTCCCGGCAAAACAAAGGTACCACTGCAAGTACCATTGGAGGAACGTCATCAGTACTTAGCGATGGTACTATGACTATGATGGTTAACTCTGTGAAAAACACTTCGCCGATGACGACAATGAAAGCGACCGAAAAGAGCTCCGTGATGACAGCGCCTACTCAAACAACGAGCACAGTCACTACGGCTGGTGCCACAAGAGAAAACACGTCTCAGAAACTCAGCACATTCTCTCCCTCAACCGTGGCCACTACTGAGCAGAAACGGAGCACGCCCCTACCAAACACAACAGCAGAAACGTCAGGAACAACTCCACCGACAATGTCTCCATCACAAACCGATCCGATAGCCGATACAACAACAAGCATCACCATAGAAGCTTCACAGTCTACCGCATGCGAGACATGTAACCAAACAATTTCTACCTACCCTCAAAACGCTACAAATCCCAGAGATGCACAAGTCAACCAGACCTCCAGCACAACAGATACAACTTACAGCATGCTCAATTCGATCACAACCACTCCTGTTAATGTGACAGGCCAGGGCTCGTCTTCTGTCCTAAACCCTGAACAAGTGAAGGGTCTGATCATGATCTGTACGACCATAGGTGTCCTCACCATTCTCTCGATTGTGTCCTACTCCCTCAAAGTCTGCTGGTGGGACAAACGACCACCAAAGGTGGACAAGGGGAGGAAAGTCTACGAAGTTCCCCCCACGGCTCCTAGAAAAGTACCAAAGCGGAAGAAATCCCTTCCAAGGGATCCCAGGAGAGGCGGTAGAAGACGTGATGATCTAGAGGTACGTAATCTCAAGGTGTATTCTTAACTGTTTTATATATATATATTAATAATTATAGTATAGTAGGGGCATTGTCATTAGATAGCTTTAAACAATGTCTAGAGTTAGAAGTTCAAGGGTTAGGTGTAACAAGTCGATCAGTGTAATATAGGCAGCTGCCACCGCGCCACGTGACTGCGAAGCTGGTGTGTTACGCCGAAAGGCAGTTATACCGGCTATACAGATACAGATTATTAATATACAAAATACTGTGAAGCATTCAATATGTAGCAAGTATGAAAAGTAAACTATAGACAAAACATTAAATCAATCCATTTAGCAATACATAGAAATTTACATAATTTTATACTCAATGCATGTACATGTAAGTATCATAAACTTAAGACTTTATCCTTTATATCTAGAACATCCTACCCAACAGAGAAAGTGTATGAATTTGATACCCTTGACAAAGTGAAGGTTAAAAACTTTTTAAAATTCATACATGGATCATAACAGTGACCAGTATGCATTACAATATGATAATGTTTTCAATAACCAACTTGCACGCAAACAGAATAACAAAGTAACGATATTGTGTTCCAGTCTGCTGAACCGTACCAGTCGTTTGACTACGATAAGTACGACCACGCGTACATCCAGCCCGTGGACCACCACCCGTCCGGTCGGTACGTGTACGCGTACGGCGGATCCTCCAAGTCTTCCCTGGGGTCAATGCCAGAGGAACCTGAGGATGTGTATCTTGAAATGCACCGGTGAAACTCATTTTGTGTTATGCAAGAGCCCGGTTGCATTTGTCTTACAATAGATTACTGTGAAGTGTACGTAATTCCTCATTTTTCCATGGTACTTTAAATTTTAGGCCACACCAATTTTATTTCTTGATTAAATAAAGGATTTTTCTAGAAAAATAATGGAGCGGGCGGGCAAAAAAATAAAATAAAAACAGGCCTAGGCATCCTATTATGGACCAAAATGATACGATAGGAGCCATGAAGTCAACACACCAAGATGGTTCAAAATTTAAACAATGAATTTTGAACTTTTAATGATACCACTACTTTGAAAGACAGAATAACTGTAACAACAAGGATGAAAAGGACTGTTTTCAACTGTTCAATCAGGGCAAAATATGAGCATTTTGCAGTTGATTCTGAATTTTCATTTTTATTTGCAAATCAGAAAAAAATGAAGCGGGCGAATCCGTTAACCAAGAAATTAAATTGGTGTGGCCTCATGGTACTTTTATGTGAGCACTTTTAAGTTTTATGCCAGAGGAACCTGAGGATGTGTATCTTGAGATGCACCAGTGAAACTCATTTTTCGTTCTATGCGCGGTCGCATTTGTCTATTTACTAACTTAAAGGTTTCTGACAGCAAGTTAGGCCACACCAATTTAATTTCTTGGTTAACGGATTCGCCGCTTCATTTTTTTCTGATTTGCAAATAAAAATAAAAATCCAGAATCAAGTGCAAAATGTTCATATTTTGCCCTGAACAGTTGAAAACAGTCCTTTTCATCCTAGTTGTTACAGTTATTCCATCTTTCAATGCAATGGTATCGTTTAAAGTTCAAAATTCATTGTTTAAATTTTGAACAAGCCTGGTGTGTTGACTTCATGGCTCCTATCGTACCATTTTGGGCCATAATAATAGGATGCCTAGGCCTGTTTTTTTTTTTTTTTTCGTCCACCCGCTCCATTATTTTTCTAGAAAAATCTGTTAACCAAGAAATTAAATTGATGTGGCCTTATATATCTTATAAAATAAATGATATGCAGTAAATGAAAGATATTGTTATGGAAGATGACTTTGTTCATCTGTTTAGTAATTTGTCGTGTTGTTGCCTGTATTTATACAAACTCTCGGCTGGGGGTTTATGACCCCACCGCAAAGGGGGCGGGATCACGAGCGTGACTGGTGTATTTGTATTCTAGTCATTTTTACGATACGTTGTTACTAGTTGTGAAGTGCTCACACACTGTTTACATACACTATACTGTTCCCAATCTGCAAAATATAAAACTTCACTGAGAATTGTCGCCTATGACTATTTGTTGATGGTTCAAGCTCTGTCAAACCTTTACTGAAAATTCTATATAATAACAAAAACCTTGTGTGATGTGTGTGATTGTAAATAATGTTGTTGAGTTGAGAAATAATATTTTGAATATGTGCTACAACAGAATAGCTTTATGCCTAAATCTGGCTTATACATATGATGCAAAATGCTGCTCTGACTGAAAAATATGAAAAAAAGCATCCTCTAGTTCAGTTTTGACCATCTAAAGACTCAAGAACCTATATTTGGTGTTGATGTAAAGGATACCAGCACAAATGTATGTACAGTGTACAAAAATGCTTGAAGCGTTTTAGAGGTATTTATACAGTGTTTTGATCATTACTTAGTCACAAAAAGAGTTTTATCTAAGATTTCTTATTAACTAACCTTTTCCCTAGTAATAAATAAGACTAGTCAAATGCTATATTCACAACTTGCTGGTCATGTTATTCAAGAATCAAGATTCTTAGACAGAAAATTTTTTTAAATTGTACATTTGTTGAAAAATACAGACTACATGTATTTTGTATTCTACATAACAGTGCATTGTGCTTTACTGATTTAAAATAGATATGCGGCTCCAGATGTCTTACTGATGTTTGACTGTGTTGTGATAGATGTCGGTTAGCTTGAGGAATGAAATCAACTCTACTCTATATTTTAACTTAGGAAGTCTCAGTCTCATGTTTGTGTGTGTCAGTGTGTTAACGGGTGGAAACTTAAATAGGTAGCTCCCCAGGTTGCTCCCGGGGCTGCTTTTAACATACTGTCTGTTTGGATGTTGATTTGCCTTTAGGACAAGTTTGTAAAATGTAGTGAGGTAGGCATTCCTCCTCCTTTAAAAGAGAAGGTCACTCAAAAAATGATCCGGATCAAGCATCAAATTGTCTTCAGAAATTATCTATCCGGATTGACAATGTGTTCACATCATACTGCTCTTGGCCAATCTGAATTGCATCACATTTAAAATGGATTGAGGAGTTACCTGACTAGAGCCCACCGTCTTGATCCAGATTGATGAATTCTGATCCGAATCGATGCTCAATCCGGATCGTTTTTTTTAGTGTGAACAGGGTCTAAAGGTCATTGAGCAAGCAAGACCTTTAAGAGCGAACTTATGTTCTTAATTGCAATGGAGGGGGACACGAATAAGCCTTAAGGCTTTTATTCAACCTTCAGCACATTCATTCTGTATAGTTTATTTAAATTTATTTCATATTTTGTTTCATTCCTGTTTTAATGTTACATTTCTTTATTGTTTTTATATGCTTGTGCAAATAAAAGTAAGGCCACAGCAAGTAAATTTTATGGATGACAGACTCCAAATCTAATGCTAGCGGGCAAAAAAAACAAGGTGGGCCGAAAAAAACAAGGTTCCTACAATTTAAAATTTTGACTCAATCAATGTACAGATGATTTTGATTCAGTGGGAACATCACATATACACAGCCAACATCACATATCATTGCATCAAAGTAAAAAACAAAACATTAAAGCAGAGCCTTTTCTTGTTTCCTCTCTGCCATCCACCTTCCGGCATGGCAACAGACATCTTTGCCCATTTCAGCACGTTGACCACTGTCAGAAGGCAACAAAATTTCTTGTTTTGTTTTCCAAAATCAGGCGAAAATTAATGTGCGCACTGATGTCATCCATAAAAATTACTTGCTGTGGCCTAAACAAAAAAAAAACAAAAACAAAACAAAACTGAGACTCACCCTACAGAGAAGATGTCCATGGCAGCCGTGAGGTCTCCTAGCCGTACAGTGATTAACCCTTCTTCAGCCAGGGACGTCTCCAGGAGAGTCTGCATCTTGTCTCCCTTCTTCATCTCCTCCTCCTGTCTCACGTCCACGAACCGCTCCGGCGCGATGTAGCACACACGCCGCCGAGACGTGTCGAAGAAGTAGGAAAAATCTGCCGGATGGTCCTGAAGAAATAGAATTAGCGGTTACAAATATAGAACAGGCAAACAAACATGTCACGAATCAAAACATCTACAGATTGTGTTGAAAATGGCGGTATTTCACTTATGTTGATATTACGCCAAAGGGTGGTTATGCCTGCTATACAATTACAGATACAGAAAAATTACATCAAATCCAATCATATATATATATATAGTGAATATTGTTATTTGATATCAGATACTTTTTATTGGCTTTCTCTATGCAAAGGCACACACGAAAACAATGCAAGCTATAACTAAATATATATAAGGATAGGCAGCATAGAAATGGTTAAATGTAACTTTCTATTAAAAATAGAAGGTGAACCAACTGGTAAAACCAGCATTTAAGTTTTTCCTGCATCAAAAAGAGTGCTTAATTTTCTATGTTGTTAGGCATGTGAATATGGAAGATACCTCAGGTAGATATGTAGGCTTGAAGCTGGCAAAGTCTGTAAGAAGGACCCAATTCCACCCAGTCACCATCACATTCTCTGTCTTAATATCACCATGGCAGACCTGGAACAATGGATGATGATCACGGGTTAATGTTGACATGTTCTAGCTTTATATATAGGTTAACAGTCCTGGGCCAGTGCCCTCGGGCCACACAATTGATCAAGCACTACATGACAGCATTGTCCACTGGTAGTGCTGTGTGCTGTGAATAACTATTACCATACTCTTTCCCATAATTATAAGTACTAGTAAGTTGCGTGTTAACCAGAGAAAGTAGTATATGTACCATTTTGGAAAAGTATGAACTGGTTTTGAACCTACGACTGCCTTAATACAAAGCATTCTAACAACACAGTACTGCTTTATAAAATGAGTTAACTTTACTACAAGATCTAAACCAATGCCAATGGCATTGAGTTGAACGGGTAGGAGGTATACATGTAAGTGACTATGCTAGGAGATGGCTTTTTAAACTGCCGTTAATCATTTGAATTTTTTTAATATGTAAACAATACTAAACATCATCAGTACTGGTAATGAACCCTGTACCCCTGACCTTGAGTTTGTGAGCCTGGTTGAGAGCACAGAGCAGTTGGAAGGCGATCCATCTCTTCTCCACACTGTTGAGGAAGGGTCGGGTACTGATCCTGTCGTACAGGTTCCCTCTCACATACTGACGGAACAGGAGGGCTGCCTTCTCTGATAACTGTGAAACACACAAGGTAGGCTTGTGGTTAGTACACTACCAAAAATGATTTTTTTTCTTAATTCATGAACAAATTTTCTTGCATGAAGAAATATCAAGAAAAATTAAGAAGAAATAAGAAAAGAGCAAGAGATATTTCAAAGATTCTTTTCTTGTACATTCTCACTACAAGAAATATTTTCTTATTTTTCTTAAGTGAAGAAATAATTTCTAGAAGTCTTTCTCTGCTTATAAGCTAGAATGTTCTAGAAAATTAAGCTAAATGATCTTGATTTTCTTTGTAGGGTTGTTAATGTTGGAATCTGGAGGATTTGGGTTCGTTTCCTGAGTTGCAGAACCCAATGTTATGCTCTTGGGATATAGGAGTTCCAGAGGTCCCATGTTTGAGGAGAGCCACAACTCAAGGATGTTAAATATCCTGCCGTTCTTATCAAAAAAGAGAAGAGGTTCATCTGAGTACTAGTAGATTAAATCATACATTCTGGTCTAATGCAGCTTGCATTTCCTGTGCAAAGTTGGTAGGTTATGTGAAACAAACAAAAGTACATATAACAAAAGTACACTGACTCTCAAAGTGTTCTATGTAATTATCGGAACTTTCTAATAAGAAATGGGAAGTAAGCATATTATACTATATAATTACTATTCATGTCAATGTTTACCAGCCTTTGGGGTTCAAATTTGCTATACTCCTATAGAAAAACTAAAATTCTATACATGTAGCTGACAGTCATCATGCTACTATTGTACTTACCGTTACTCGCTGGAAAGGAAGACAGTTGGAGGCCGGCTCCAGCTTTGACTTGATGTCTGAAATTCATTATCAGAGCAATAAATCATACTTTTATGAAAATATATCACATGACAACATACTTCACATTTTATCTGCACATTTAGATAGATGTCATTTAAAATCTAACTTATTTCTGGATATCAAGTCAGTTATTCGTACTGAAATTTGTCGGATAGACAAGTTGCATAAAGTTCCATGCTTAATGGAAATGATTAAATCAGATGGCTAAATTAAATGTTTCTGTAACTACCTTCTAGTTCTTCCTTGTACTGTTTAAGCGGCAGAGTGGGGTCATATATAGGAAACACTTTCACCACTGCCAGACCTTCCTTGTACTTGGCTCGGGCAACCTTAAAGAAACGGGTGCTTCCAAGGCTGTAAGAAAAGAAAAAGAGATCTTGATCCAGTTTTAAATTACTGAAAAGTTTGTATTTTTCACTGGTTGTGACAGAGAAGGCAAATGCTATGTACAGTATTTACAAGTTCACTGTGACCTGGAAAATTTTCCTAGCTCTTTTCAACAAGCACAATTAGCTGTGAAACACTACGTCCCATCCTAGGCACACTCACTTTGAGCATATGTTCTATCTGGGATTGCTTTGATACTACTATGGTTCTTTTAACAGCAAATTTAAAACACATCCCCCTCCCTTTGGACATTAGGTCAATGCGAACTTAAACCTATTTATATAATTAAGTCTTGAGATCTCATCATTTTGGATTTAAAATACTGAAAATGAGATAGCTGCATAATAAATCAGCTGATTACCTTTGGTTTGTAACCATCATTTAGAATTAGAACACTAGACAAGAAGAAAACAAAATAGCAACAACATCTGTAACACTATAGCTAACAGTGGGGGTTTATACTAGTACTAGTAGGTGCTACCATCTGACCCGGCTGATGGGTCTAGACCTTTTAGCCAAATTGTTAGAGTGTTGGCATGTGGACTGGTGCCTGGGTTTGGTCGTGGGTTCAAAACCCGGCCCGGGACCAGATATTTTTATCTGTTTCTACTCGCTCCTCCTGCTTCTTACAGTACCAAACCCGGGCACCAGTCCACATGCCGACGATGTAACGATTCGACTAAAAGGTCTAGACTCTTCGGCAGTGTCAGTTGGTAGCGCCTATAAACCCCCCACTGTTACACATCTACTAGTATTAGATATGTTGATTTATCATCTATAACATTTATATATATTTAATTTACCTGCAATCATATTCATAATCTGTGACGTCTGTCAGGTAGTTATCCACACTGAGGATCTGTGACGGCGCGATGCTGGTCAGCTGAGCTCCCATGGTGGCACCGAAAACTGGCTCGGGGAAAAAAATCGTCAGGCAATAAAAATCTGACTAGAAAGGTAACATTTGCAAGACAAATGCATAATGTTTACCTTCGAATATACTGTGCATTCTTACTCAAAGACATTCATATATATGGTCAGAAATTCTCAGAATCTAAATCCCTCCTGCTATAAAATTGCAACATGATGTAACCCAACACCAGTTACCATGGTAACAGACACAACATTGGTTCAGGTCGTTGAGGTCACTGTTTGGAGAAGAAGAAGAAGAGGAAACTGAGCAAAAACAAATGTTTTCCATCAGAATATGCCCCTCCCCATGGTGATCTGTAGGAATTGACAGGTTTACATACAAAGACACTGCCTAAAATCGGTTTCTAAGTTGCCTGGATAATCTAAAAGTCTTACCCTGATGCAGAATTTCCAACAGAAGGGTACAAAACGTGAGATTAGGTCACTTTTACGCGGAATATCGCTGAAAAGTGAGAATTTTGGTCACGTAGCGGCCATTTTGTTTTGGTGTGGACGTGAAGGATTGTGGGATATCCAAGATGGCAGCCTGCAGTGACATCTTGACCAAGTATTTCCCTTCGATTGATTCCGAATTAACGGACTATATCGTCGGTAAGTCGGCATTGGTTCTGTTCACTAGAAGCTGAGAGTTTGAGTATACAGTAAATGTCAAAACTTTGGTGTTTTTTGCGGAAATGAGCCGTATATTGGCAGCCGGCTTTTACCAACTTATCGGCCACGGCGATCACTTTTGATCAAGTGGGGGAGGGGGGCTTTTTCTCAGCTAACATTTCTACACGTATTTTCCAAAGTTAAAAGACCAGAACGGGGTTTTAGTCCTACCAGAGAGTGGCTTTCTGTTAGCTCTCCTTGCTGAAAGTTTCTTTGGTATATAACTTTTTCTTTTGTATATAACTTCTCCCCATTTTTCTGATAATTTGTGATTGCGCAATCACATGCAATTTATTCTACAACTTCGCCAAACCGGATATGTTATGTATGACTAGAATAGGGGCGCCATTTTTTTTAATATCAACTTTGGCATTGAAAATATTGGAATTGTATGCAAAGACCAACACCTAGTACAAATCTATGAAATATTTTGAATTAACGACTGTAACAATAAACAAAATAATGGGAAATCATAATTTTATTTTAATTCTCATATTATTAATATTACAGCTTAGTCGTGTGAAGCTTAGCTATGTTAGCCTGGGTACCATCCTGGTTAGTTTACATCCGCTCCCACAGTCACTACCACCGGTCGCTACTACAGTGGGAGTGGACGTAAACTAACCAGGATGGTACCCAGCCACAAAAAATAGGTACCTGACTTCAGATGATGAGGTAAAAGGTGGTGGAAGGACAGGGATGGGCTCTACACAGTGGACCAACATCACCTTGGCCACAAAAAGACGGTATCAAGATATCAAAAAGGCTATTTGAACTCAACATAACATGTATCTTTCCTTACATTTTCATCCTTACCTTTCCCATAACCCACAGGAGTACTAGACAGCAGTGCGGAGGATATCCAGTCCAGTGAGGATGTGTATGATGCGGTGGGGGAGATGTTACTGGAGTTGTCTGAGGAGGGGACAGGGGAAGACAGTGTCAGGGACATCTGTCTGGAGATGATCAAGGCTCTCAACATGTAAGAACAGTGTACAAAATATTTTTTTGAACCAGGTTGCCCAGTGGGCAGCCTACAGCAAAAATTAGGTTGCCCATCAGAATTTTAGGTTGCCCCACCTATAAGTTACAACTTTCCTCAAATTAAGTAATGTTACATACATAAGCCTAAATGACAATATTTCTAACAGCCTTTAGTTAACTGATACTAGTAATAGCCATTAATACCTAAAATTAAAAAGCATCTGCCAGATACAGTGGTGCAAGCCAAGTGGCCATGATTGGGGGGGGGGGGGGAGCACACTGGGCTACCTAGGTTCAAAAATAGGTTGCCCCAAGTAAATTTTGCACACTGAAGAACATCTTCCGTGACTTTGAACTTCACTCTTGTAGTTTACATTTTGGCAAGGAGGTTAGAATTTAATGCCTAGAAAGTGTAATATGCTCACTTCAGAAACAGTTAAATGTTTTTAAAAGGGAATTAGCATCAAAGTTATGAAGAATATGATAGTTATTAGAAGATATAGCTTATCCCCCACATACAATTTTTTCCAGGTTATCGCAAACTACATTGTCTTAAAACACCGTAGTATAATTAGAAGTAGTACACACCTCAGTGAGCCATTGGAATTTAGTAGGTGTCCATTAGTCATGATATACTTTATTTCATGTCATTCAATTTGTTACTAAGCCACATGTATGTGTTTGGGTCTGTAGTATAACATACACATGTATAGCCGCTTCTGCCAACAAGCTAAAACTGCAACTAGTAAATGCACTGTAGAAAGCCTATCTTCACAAGATGTGTACATGTTGGTATAACCATATGCATCAGATTGAGTGTACTATGTTGTATTGTTTCAGAAATAATGACAGCAAAGTCTCGGAGAGACAGAAACTAAATGCTCCTGTCCACCTCAAGTCCATGGCAGAGGATTTTAGTAAGTCAAATTCATGCAGAAATTTCTTTAGTTGAACATTAGTCAAGTTAATGAATTGAAAGTTAGTTAACTAAGTAGTAGTAAAGAGATGCATTCTTGTAGCAATTACGAGTAAGAAAAACACATAGCACTTTGTATATTAGAAGGGTTATATTGTCTTTCCTTTCTGTATTTGTATGTACCCTATGTAATATGTTATGTGTAGAATGTTGGTACAAGAATCTTTTCTAGTGTAAAACAGGTCTTAATCTGTATGGTGATGATGACATTGTATAAACCGCATTGTATTCATTACTTTTACAATGTATGTTCTTTATTTGCAGATCAACAATCAGAAGAGTCCATGAGTATATGGATGGCCAAGAAAGAATTCAACACAGTAAGTTATCATTATGATATATATGATGCATTCCATGTATATTGGAAATTGGTTATCTTATGAAAAGGCCGGTGGGTTAACAAGTTGAATCTGTATGCTTCAATGTTTACATTTGAACTCTCTAGCAAGGACTTGTACATCTAAATTTTATACATGTACGTAAAAAGTGTTTCTGTACTATAAGGTATTATCATATCGACTTTATGAAATAGAATGTTGAATGGTCTTCATACAGGTTGTTGATGCTAAAAAGTTAGAGAAGGCAGAGGCCAAGTCCAAAGCTAAACTAGAGAAACGAGCAGAGAAGGAAGAGAAAATAGAAGACTGGTGAGTTTTACATTTATTTTATTTATTTATTTATTTATTCGGCTTTACAGAAATTAAAATTCTGAGAGGAGCCGGCAACAGGAACATAGAGTTCCTCTACTAGGCCGACTCCTCTAGAAACATAGAAGCAAAAACAAACAAACAAGCAACAATTTAAAATGATGATAACAAACTTATAAGCACCTAACAAACAAATGAGTAATCAAATCGCTAAACAGTTATGGCATGGACAGGTAGTGGTCCAGGTACATAAGTTGTCAGTTGAAAAAATGTTGTTTAAGCGAGATCTGTAGTAAGTAATTAACAATTTTTTAACAGACGGTAAGCTGAGATTTGAATACATGTGTTGACGTATGGATAATGGTAAACATGTTCCAGATTACAGCAATCTGACTGAAATAGGAATGATTACATGATTACAAGTCTTCAATTTAAGCTTATATTGCTATAATAAACAGTTGTTTATAACTTTTGACTATCCTTAACATATGACATGCTTCTTTGTACTAGTAGTACCTTAAGAAAATACATGTAGGAATTTTTTTTGCCAAATTTGCAAATTGTTGTTGTTTCAAGTGATCTTATAATAATGTGATTGATAATGATTATTTGAATATTTTATTTTCATTTTTTACAGTAAACTAGAGAACATGGGAATGGTCAGTTAACTGATTCTTTGAACACATTCTTTATCAAATCTGCACATTGCAAAACCATTAAGCATGAATGTCTTTTGATATCTTTCTGTAGTCAAATTGGTATGGCCACAGCTAGCCAGGCCACAAACAGACGAGAAGCTAAACTGGATGCATCCGGTATGAACCGGTCTTATGACATTCATGTAGAAAACTTGGATGTCGCATTTGGAGACAAGTAAGTGTTAACTGTTCAAGTCAATATGCACGTATATATAGAATACAACACGGTGTATTCCGTATCGCCCGAGGTATCGGCCCGACTCGCGGGAGGGGCGAGGGCGATGCGGAATACACCGTGTTGTATTTTATTTATGTCATACCCACCCAAGAAAACACGCCTTTCAATGCAAGATGAGCCAAAAGTTGGTGCCCCTAAGCCCTCAATTCTAACAACATCAGTTCCAATGTTCGGATTCTGTATTCGAATTTTCGAAAGCGGCACACGCGGTTAGGGCGAAACGCGTTCGAATTGTTCTGTGGAAGCCATTGAGCCCGGGCCGTACCGTCCCGGTCCCGAACCCGTTATCGAACGTTATCGCGGCCCGGGTATGATATTATAAATGTTTATATAAAACCCAGTACATGTACTGGTGCAGGTTAAGTGGAAGTAGATATCAGATAATACCTGCACAGCTCCAATTTTACCTGCACTAACCTGCATATGCATCCAATACATTGTATATTTCGAGCCTTGTCAAAACTTCAGTATTCTGCCTTTCCCCAGAGTTTTGCTGCAGAATGCAGACCTCCATTTGGCTGAAGGCAGAAGGTACGGTCTGGTGGGAAGAAACGGCATCGGGAAAACAACACTACTTAAGATGTTATCCAGGTAAACAACTGGTTAAGGTTACTTTTTGTCTGGCAGGCACTGACTGTCAGCCACTGATGAGAAGTAGTGTATCAATGCTACTTGAAACATCCAGGTAATGAGATACACAAGGAATTGTCACTCAAGCAACTGGATAGATTTTGAAAATGGAAAGAAAATTATGCCAAAAAACAGTTACTCAAGCAACTGGATATGATTTTGAGAACGTCAGACGTTTCAGCTAGTATCCACTAGCTTTCGTCAGTGACTGAGAGACCAGAGGGGAAAGCAGGTTTATATACACAACCTGTTGATTGATATGCAAATAAAGTGAAGACAAATTTTTGGAAGTCGAAAAAGGAACAAAAGTCAGACAAGTCAAGACAAGATGATGCAAATTAGTCTGAAAGCTCCTGTTATACAGGACAGGAGCTTAAGTGTTGTCTGTCCTCGGGGCTGGGAGTGCCAAATCCCAAGTGCCGGAAAGATCGACCCGTAGCCCCCCTTCCCTGTTGAGGGTGGGGTTGTACATTCTTTCATATATTGCCTCTTTAACACCCCGTTCCCACCAGCGTGTTTCGCGGTCTAAGACATCCGTGGACTCGAGTTTGAAAGAGTGACCCTGGTTGTGTTGTAGGTGGTGGAAAATAGCTGAGGAGTAGCCGTTGGCACTAGGTCGGCAATGTTCTTTGTACCTTACTTTAAGCGGTCGACTTGTCTCTCCGATGTAGGTGTTGTTACAATTGGGCTCCTCACATTTAAGTCTGTAAATAACATTCGCCTTGGTACCCTTGTGAGGTCGGTCCTTAGGGTGTACCAGTCTTTGTCTGAGGGTTGAGTGAGGTTTGAAGTTAGTGGCTATGTTGAAGTTTTGGAAGATCCGTCGGAGTTTCTCAGATACTCCTTGGACATACGGAATAGTGATGTTGGCCTTGTTTTTGTTGGTCAAAGGTTTGCACTTCTGGGTTTTCTTAGACTGATCTGAAGGTTTGAGCGCTTTGTTGAAAGTCCAGTTTTGGTAGCCACATTTAGCCAGGGCACCTCGGAGGTGTCTATGTTCGTCCGTTTTGGCTTGGTCTGAAGTGACAATGTTGTCTGCACGATGGAAGAGAGTTTTGATCACTGCTAGTTTGTGTTCCAAAGGGTGATGGGAATCAAAGGCCAGGTACTGATCAGTGTGGGTTGGTTTCCTGTACACTTCGAAACGAAGGTTACCATTTTCCTCTACGATAGTTTTGGTGTCTAGGAAAGGGAGCATGTTGTCATGGCTTGGCTCCTGTGTGAACTTGATGTTGTCATCTATCTGGTTGATGTGGTCAAAGAAGTCAGCAGCTACCCTCTTTTTCAATCTGCACCAAGTGTCATCTACATATCGAAACCAGTTGGCCGGGGGAGTGTCGTTGAAAGTGCTGAGGGCTTTGTTTTCAAACTTCTCCATGTACAGGTTTACAACAATTGGTGAGACTGGTGATCCCATAGCACAGCCGTGCATTTGTTGGTAGAACTGTCCTTTGTAGGTAAAGTATGTGCATCCTAAGCAGAGTTCTAGTAGCTCACAAACTTGGTCAACGGATAGGTTGGTTCTATCTGCAAGTGTATCATCGGCTTCCAAGGCTTCCTTGACTACTGACACTGCTTCCTTGGGTGGTATGGAGGTGAAAAGTGAGCACACGTCATACAAAGTGATAGTTTCATCATCCTCTACATGAATGTCTTTGATTTTGTTGACAAAGTCGGCACTGTTCTGTACATGGTGCTGAGATTTCCCCACTAGTGGTCCTAAAATCTTGGCTAGAAAACCTGCTAACTCATAGGTGACAGAGCCTATACTGGAGACTATGGGTCGTAGAGGGACACTTTGTTTGTGGATTTTGGGAAGGCCGTAGAAAGCAGGGGGTTGTTCCGTTGTGGGATCGAGTTTTAGGTAGGTGGGGCGATCCAGAACTCCTTCAGTTTGCAATTTCTTGAGAGCTGAACTGATTTTCCCTTTAAACTTGTTAGTGGGGTCCTTTTTCAAGGGCATGTAGGTGTCTTTGTCTCCCAATAGGTCCTGTACCTTCCTGTCGTACTGCTCCCTGTCTAAGACTACTGTGCATCTGCCTTGTCTGCATGCTTTCCCCTCTGGTCTCTCAGTCACTGACGAAAGCTAGTGGATACTAGCTGAAACGTCTGACGTTCTCAAAATCATATCCAGTTGCTTGAGTAACTGTTTTTTGGCATATCGTATTACCTGGATGTCTAACCTTCATCGACGAAAGAAAATTAATTTTTGAACACCTCAATCCTTGGTTGATAACTCTGGTACTTGAAGGCATGGCTATTTCTTGTTTTTCTTCTGGGCTGGTATTAGGTAGTTACAGTGTTGTAGTTGGTACATTTGTATGTCCACTCAGGGTTGGACAAGTTTTCAAAGATCCACTGGCCCTATCGGGCAAGTACATGGTTATTTCCACTTGCCCGAACCAACTTTTCACTTGCCCCAAAATATGATGTTTTCCTATGACTATGCATTTTACTTGCAAAAAGGAAATTATTTCATTTTTCAATAGAAAAACACTTAGTTTATTTTATTGTTGCTTGCTTTGTTTGCCAAAATAAGGGTACCTAGAGACTTTTCCGACAAAAGGGCATATTTTTGACTGGTATCAATATAATATCTTGATTTGAAAATGATGTGTAATTTTGCTCCGAACACTGCATCCAAAAAATTTACTTGCCCAATCGGGCAAGTACAGGGGGATATTCACTTGCCCGAACAGTGCTTTTACTTGCCCTGGGCAAGTGGGCAATGGGACTTGTCCAACCCTGCCACTATTTCATTAGTTGTTTTGTACATCATGCATAGTCTGGACATTTTTCGTCTGTCTTCCAGTGACACGCACTGTCTTTATGTAACAAATAAGAAACTTTTTGTCCCCCCCCCCAGTGGTGAGTTGAGGATCCCGTCCCACCTGTCTGTGCTCCATGTGGAACAGGAGGTAGTCGGTGATGACACCACCGCGGTCGACAGTGTCCTTGAGAGTGACCTTGTCAGGTCCAGTCTACTACAGGAGGAAAGAGAACTCACCGCAATGCTGAATTCTACAAGGTGCTTATCTTGTGATTTGTTTGTCTAAGGCCACACCAATTTAATTTCTTGGTTAATGGATTCGCCCGCTTCATTTTTTTCTGATTTAAAAAAAAATTCAGAATCAACTGCAAAATGCTCATATTTTGCCCTGTACAGTTGAAAACAGTCCTTTTCCTCCTAGATGTTACAGTTATTCCATCTTTCAATGCAATGGTATCATTAAAAGTTCAAAATTCATTGTTTAAATTTTGAACCAGCCTGATGTGTTGACTTCATGGCTCCTATCGTACCATTTTGGGCCATAATAGGATGCCTAGGCCTGTTTTTATTTTTATTTATTTTTTTCGCCCGCCTGCTCCATTATTTTTCTAGAAAAATCCGTTAACCAAGAAATTAAATTGGTGTGGCCTAACTTTATCTGGTATCAAAATGCCCTGGTTGCCTCTGAAATCTGTTTGTATTATTAGCTGTCCATGGTACTGAAATACATTCAGACCAAACTGTAACTTTCCTTGTACTGAAAAGTATTCATTTGTACATTTGCATCCCAAATTGCTGAATGATACAAAAGAAATCGCAGTATCTGTCCTTGGTGCTGATTTGCATTCACTCTAATTATTTTTCATAAGTACTAAACAAACTGTTACGGTGATAGTTTTGCAATGAAATGATTACATTTTTCTTTTCAACAACATGAAGAACATGAAATCACGTGAATATTTGAAAACTAACAGTAACTTGTTCCTACGTTTATTTCTATGCTCTTTGTTATAGTCCATCCACTTTAGATGGCAGGGGAAGTGCAAGGTTAGGAGAGGTAAGCTATGGAGTTTTAAGTACCTGTTACTAACTGTTATTAGGAAAACAATGTGTTAACATTCAGCATAATGTAGAAAGTGTAAAGCATGCATGGCATAGTATCAGAATACTAGACTATATAATTTATTGCCTATTTTTGTCTGTTTTATTATTGCAACAACAGATTGTTGAGGAATTGGCAACTAATATTTTCTGTGTTTTTTAAGATCTATGCCAAACTAGAAGAAATTGAAGCTGACAAGGCACCGGCAAGGTAAAAAAAGATGCTCTGTTTTCAATACTTATTTTAGTATCTGTGAATATACAGAGAGTAAAAAATGGAAAAGCGTTTCTGTTGCCTGTCCCGTATGTTTGATAACTAGCCATCCAGTCTTCACACCTATACTTTAAATAAGATTGAACAGTTTTTATTTGAAGATTTCAGCATATATTTGATCCAAAAATTTTCCTGGTGAAATTGTTGAATCCAACATTGTTTGCTGTCTGTAGTAATACATGTATGTTTTTAGATCTTTAGAAAGTTTAATTTTTTGTCTCTGTTTCAGGGCTGCACAGATTCTAAATGGTTTGGGATTCACACCTAAAATGCAGGAGATGACAACTAAGTAAGTCTTCAAGTTCATGATAATGTAGACCTTGTTAAGTGATATGTGTGTATTTCATCCACTGTTCCTTTTGTACGTAAAGTCTCATTTTGAAATTCTGGTATCCAAATGCTTTGATTGGCTCTGACATGAAATCTGTGTGTATTATTAGCTGCCCATGGCACTGAAATACAATCACAAAATGCTGAATGATACAAAAGAAAGTGTTCTTAATCAGCTCATATTTGTACTTTTTTTACTCATAGAGAGTTCTCAGGAGGTTGGAGAATGAGACTGGCGTTGGCACGAGCTCTTTTCATGAAGTAAGTATTCAGTATCAAAAGTTTTATATAAGCTTTACTCATAAATAAAATCTAAGCATTTTCACGTAAAAGGTACAAAGCGTACAGTACATACTGTAGTTAACAATGTGTACAATCATTCCTCTTTGTACATAAGTATTGTTTTGGGTGGCTGATTTTTTTTTACTTTCCAAACTGACCCCTGTATGTTATTTCCTACCACAGGCCAGATCTCTTGTTGCTTGACGGTAAGTTTCTATCAATATACTAAAATTTTTATTTCATTCATTGAAGTTGCTGCCAATCATAGTCGTCCACTTAGTCTTCAGCAGGCTAAGGTAGCAATTTATTTGTATGGGATAAGGCAGCAGGGTGAAGGTAAATGATGTAAGTTCATCACAGTGTGCATTATCTTTTGTTGTGTGAGAAACACTGAGAAACAGTTGATAAAGCTTGTTTTCCTTTCCAGAACCTACCAACATGTTGGATATCAAAGCCATTTTGTGGCTGGAAAACTACCTTCAGGTTAGTTCTTTTCCAGCTCAATCATTCTCCTTGTTTACTGTAAATTCATCAAGAGAGAGAGAGAGAGAGAGAGAGAGAGTTCATAGGGTAATATGTATTCATAAAGCTGTAAAGCTATGTACTTTAAAGCCCTGTAGTTGTACCTGCAAAACTCTTTCGGCATAGATTGTATCTGTAAAGCCCTGTAGTTGAGTTGCACCTGTTTAAGGCTCTGTAGTTGTAGCTGTAAAGCTCCGTAGTTATAGCTATAAAGCTCTGTTTTGAGTCACTTTGCCTGCAGTTTCTTCCATTCTCACTAGATGGTGCTGCAAAACAGTCCTGCAGTTGAAGAAAGCTTACATGTATGTGCCTACTGTTTTCTGCAGACGTGGTCCAAAACGATCCTTGTCGTGTCTCACGACCGTCTCTTCCTGGACTCCGTAGCGACGGACATCATCCACTTCCACTCCCGGCGCCTGGACTACTACCGCGGGAACTTCGAGATGTTCCTCAAGACCAAGACAGAGAAGCTGAAGAACCAGCAGAAAGAGTACGAGTCACAGAAGCAGTACAGAGATCACATACAGGTTAGAATCTTTGTTTAGAGTTAAAACTTTCGATCCAACACAACAAAGTTCTCTCTCCTAGAGCTTTCGACCAGTTACTCTGGTCTTCCTCAGTAGACTGACCCAGTGAAGCCTGTCACATGGCTTCTTTGAAGTGAGACGTGAAAGCTGTAGGTGAGAGAACTTTTTGTGTCGGGTCTAAGGTTTTAACTCTACTAGTAAACATATAACAGTAACCAAGTTGAACACAGATAAACTTTCATGATGGTTAGAAGCCTTGCTCACTCATACTTCCTTTCTCATCCAATCCTTAGGCCTAGTAAAAAAATGTTGTGTTTCCTGTTTCAGTTCTGAAATAATTAGGGTCGGTAGGTAGGGATTATCTTTTTTCTCTCTTTTTTTTGTTAGACTTTGGCAATCAATTGAACATTATACAATACAGTTCAACAAAGTAAAACATGCCTAAGGACACTTATATTTTCAATGTCAGTGTTGAAAAACTGATTGTACAGTGTTTCATCACTCAGGAGTAAGATCAAGGAGCTAGAAAAGGTTGTTCAGCTCACAAAATTTATGTCCCTTGCAGTGGTCCTAGAAAAAAGCCTAGGGTCAGCAGATTTTTCTAGGGTCAATCGGGAAACAGGGAACACAACATTTTTTTCCTAGGCCTTACTCAACAATCATGATGATTCTAGCTAGAATATGGAAAAACAATAAGTGTCTACAGAGGTGTAGTGAATTTGACGTCCTACTTAATATTAAAACTGCATCATAATTTTTCTTTTTACCAGCAGAAAAGTGATTTAAAAGTTTAATTGCTTCTTCTAATGAAAGGATGTTAAGTTCTTCTTTAACTGTTGATCCGATTTTTTCCCTAGGTGTTCATCGACAGATTCAGGTACAATGCCAACAGAGCCTCCCAAGTACAGAGCAAACTGAAGCTGCTGGAAAAACTGTAAGTCTGAACCTGTGTAAGGCACACCAACTTAATTATTATGGATGACATCCTCTGAAGACCCCCAAACTAGCGCACGCAGGCGAATAAAAAAATCCCGGCCAGAAATAAAAATGCTACTAAACCAAAGGAATACAAAGCTGGTATTATGAATTTGCGGCACATAATAACGTATACGACAAGTTGGCACATGCTGGCTTTTTGCGGAATGTATGCATCGGTACTGTACGTATGTACTGAGTCGCAGCTCTTCGGTAGCCTGGGTGCCGTCCTCCAGAGTTACCACCGGCTCTGTATTGTCGCTAACTACAATGGACTACCCAGGCCTAGAGCCAGGCCAAAGCTTCGGATGACGTGATCTTTTTTTTTTTGAGAACAGGTGAAAATCAATGCGCGTGCGGATGTCATCCATAAAATTGAATCGATGTGGCCTAAATTTAAACATACAAGTCAGGGCTAATTAAAAAGCAAAGTTAACCTTCGGTACTCTATTATAATTAGCTTCCACTTAGTACCTAGAAAGTAAGTCTTGTAGTAAGAATTGTAAAGATTAAAATGTAGCCTTTCCATAAGTCTGGATTATATTAATTTCTTGGTATTACTGGTAAATGTCGAAACCTTGCTGTAATACCAGAAAAGTGATGCTTAACATTTCCTTACTTTCATCAATACAGCACTCTTGAAAACACAGAACTATGAATTATAAAGCTGGCATTAAAAAAATGTTCAATAGCTGTAGATAGTCCATGAAAGCAACAGTTATTCATTTTATAAAACTTATCTTCCAGCCCAAAGTTGACACCGATCGAGAAAGAGCCAGATGTCATCCTGAAGTAAGTATGGAAACTGTTTGATACTAGAACATATCATGTTTGTACTATTAGCTGTCCTTGGTACTGAAATACATTCACACCAAAATACTGTATCTTTCCTTGTACTGAATAGTATTTACCTATACATTTGCATGTGCAGAATGATACTTAGAAAAGTGCGGTATCTTTCCTTGGTGCTGATGTGCATTCACCCTGATTTTTTCCTAAGTACTGAATAATCTCTAGCAGTTTTCCCTGATGTAAAAAGATAGGCAATATTTAGACTGAGGCATACAAACATTCATATGTCACATATTTGTATTGAAACTAAAACCACAGAAGCTGTCCTTAGTACTGAATGACATTCACACTGAAATAACATCTGTTCATCTGAGTACTCTTGTCTAATCTGTCTTGTCACTGGTTTAGACAGTAGTCCTCACTACTGCATCAGTCAGCAGGCACCTACATGTAGCTTAAGTATGCAGGCATTAGAAGTTACACTAGGTAAATGACATAATGAGAAATAAACTAAATTTTGACTGGAATTCTTTTGGTCTTCATCAGCACTGGGTCAGATAGCTGTTGATGACCAAGAAATTTTGTCAAAAAATTCTAGTGAGTTAGAGAACAGTTTATTTCTCATTACCCAGTACTTTTGCTTATAATTAGTGCAGATTTGTCTTTTCACATTAAAACTCGACAACTTTGCAGGTTTCCCGATGACATCGACAAACTGTCCCCACCCATCCTCAGACTGGACGAAGTGGACTTCTGCTACAGCCCTGACCAGCCCATCTTCAAGAAAGTGGACATATCAGCTGACCTGGACTCAAGAATAGCTATTGTAAGACACTCCCAAGTACAGAAACATTTGGCCTGTTTTGCAAAATCAGTAAACTGCCTTTGGGCTGAACACCCCAGTGTTACAAGCAGGATTTTAGCTAGGGGGTGTCCAGGGTGTCCTTTGGACGCCCTGTACTGAAAATACTAAGAAATTGGACGCCCTACTTTTTGGTAGGACACCCTAAAGACGCCCTATTTTTTCCACTCCCAACCCCTGCCACACACACATGCCTCCCTTCAGCCTTACTATAAATACAGAAATGATGGTTTAGTGATGAAAAAAACTTACATTCCTCATCAAATTTGCACCTCAAAATGCAAAAAGTGGTGTTTGAGAGCATTACAAATTTAAAAAAAGCCCCCCTAAAAAGCTTGTGCACTGCGCATCTTTGCTGCACATAGCATACAATAAAAAAATGGACACCCAATAAAAAAATCCTAGCTAAAAGCCTGGTTACAAGTTACGTAAGACAGGACTGCAAGCGTTTATTCACTTACATTGGGATGGACCACTTCTCCTTTTGATAGATGCAGGAATACACCACAAACAGTTGGGACTTCAACTGAACCTAGGTACTTATTTTTGCCTGAGGCCTAGTGAGGAAATAGGTGAGGAAAAAGTGCCTTTCCCAAGGGCATAACATGAAAACCTGCCTGGGATCCAAACTGAAAACCCAGACCCAAGCCAAGACCAGCTTGCAACATTGTAACAAGACATGGATTTGGCAATGACATTTTTGGACATTACTTTTTTTTAACTAGATATGTAACATTTTCAAAGCAAATATATAATGCTTACCTTCACTAGCCTGGGTGCCATCCGAATTTGTAACTGCTTCGGGGGAGCCGTTACAAATTCGGATGGCACCCAGGCTATACCATCACATGGTCTGGCCCTACAAACTACTGCTCTGTTTATTTTTATATATAGTGTTACACATTCCTATTTATGGTGACCAGCCCCTCCAGCTCTGCCCTGCCACTTGCTACATAATGTTATCCAACACCCCTGGGTGTCTGCTACAGCACCAGTCACCATGTTGACAGCCATCTGGCCCAGGTCATCGACCTTATGTGTTTTGAGTAGAAGAAGAGGAAGAAAAAGAAGAAAAAGAGCAAAAACATCACGATTTCCTTCTACAAAGGCAAACATAATAAGAAATTCCTAAGGCTTAAAATATTTTCTTTCCTTTTCCTCAAGGTTGGTGAGAATGGCACAGGTAAAACAACCCTGCTGAAGATTCTGATTGGTGAACTGGATCCTGTGAACGGGATCAGACATGTACACAGGTGAGCAATGTAATCAATGTCATCCAATAGAATCGCCAATTTGGATACTTGCATTGATTATTTCGATAATTTGTCAGTTATTGATTAGTAATCAATAAAATGATTAGAATAACAAAGAATCACAATCATGGTACAAGATTGTGTATTTGTTGTTTTATAATTCTTCAATAGGTGTCCTAAAAGAACACTGCTACAGTCAGTTTTCAGTACTCAACAAAATGCATGTTAACCTTCTTGCTGCTGCCCATTCCTGTACAATACTGAAATAGAGAATTGGTGTCTTCGGTGTGCTAAAGGTTAAAATCCATCAGAATCTGTAGTGTTAGAAAGTCACCACAGGGTAATCAAAAGTTATTTGTAGTACTTATTTGTGATGACAGAAGTGATACATGCCCTATAAATGTGGAAAGTGTCACCACCCACTATATACTACTCACAACTGCAGGGCTCGAAATTCATTTTTGTGAATAGGTACAGTGGTGCCTCAAAAATTAGGTGCACAAAAATGTTTTTGGGTGCACCATATAACAAAACAAAATATAATTAGAGATCTTACTGCTTCTCTTCTGAGCTTGAATCCGAAATGAGAGCTAACTTCAAAATCTTGCCAAGATGCCAAGAATATCCTGTATACTATTATATATTTGATGTGTAGAAAATACCTATAAAAATATTTGGGTGCAAAAAAAATGGGTGCACAGCTCAAATTTTGGGCACTAAGGTGCACATGCACCCAGTATTTCGAGCCCTGCAACTTAAATCCTATTGCAGCTGTTAAATTGAAGACTGTTGATCACCCATGTTGTTGTAGGAACCTGAGGATAGGGTACTTCAGCCAGCACCATGTGGACCAGCTGGAAATGAACGTCACATCTGTCGAGCTGCTGGCATCAAGGTTCCCAGGTAAAACAAAAGAAAGACATTGTCATAAAGATTCTGACTTATCAAGCAAATGTAAGCTTTATTTGTAAGCTCTTATCTTAGTCCCATGGCCTTTTTGAGGCTGTAGGGGCAGTGGGATGTAATTCACTGTGTTTGGGGCAGACCCGGCAGAGTATTGGAAAGTTGAACCCATCCCTTTAAGTCTGTATCTTCTATACGAGGATTACTCGCAATGGATTCAAATAGAAAATGCAAGTGCATATTGCCATGTGACAACCCATGCATTTTACATACAATGTCAATCATGGGAATATTGCTAGAAATTCCATGAATGATTCTAAAAGCACATTTTCATCCCATACTACATCATGTTTTGTAAGTTAGATTAGTCTCATGATATACTGTTGTTGTTATATAGCAGAAGATGTAATATGTTGAAACTTGTACAATTGCTGTGCAATAAAGTTTAGTATGTTAGTTGGGAAAATATGAAAAAGCAGTAGATGTGATGCTTTGTAACTGGTATACAATTGCTATCTGTCTTCTTTTGACAGGAAGGAAGGTAGAAGAGTACAGACACCAGCTGGGGTGCTACGGTGTGTCTGGTGAACTCGCCATGAGGCCTGTAGCCAGTCTATCAGGAGGACAGAAGAGTAGGGTAGCATTCGCCAACATGGCTATGGTCAGGTGAGGTATTGCCTTGTTTATTCTCATCTTTTATTATGTTTACCTTTGCGGGAGGAAAACATTGTTTTTGCTCTGTTTCGTCTTCTTCTTCTCCAAACAAGCAAGGTCAATGGTCTGATACCATGGTAACTGGTGTTGAGTTACATCATGTTGCAATTTTATAACAGGAAGGATTTAGACTCCTGTCACCATATATGTGAATGTGATTGGGTAAGAATTAACAGAGCAGACCATATGTGAAGGTAAAAATCATTCATTTGCCTTGCATATGTCACCTTAAGTTTGTAGATTTAATTTTCATATTGTATACAGTAGCAAGATATCTGTTAACTGTTGACAAATTTTGAAATTAGAAACTTTTTTTTACTTCAGACCAAACTTCTTCATCCTTGACGAACCGACCAATCACCTGGACATGGAGACCATAGAGGCTCTTGGGAAGGCTCTCAAGAAGTTCAAGGTCACCCCATATTCTGTTTTCCTTTGCTTTCTGTTTTGGTGAATGAAAATATTATTGCCATCCTATCGTCGTATGCTATATGGAACGCACGTCACAAGCCGAATTTTGACTCAGACACTATGACCGGCCTATAACTGTTGTAAGAATGTGGCATCTTGCACTAAATAGAAGTGGTAACTTTTAAGTGAAAGTTTAACAAATTTTTGTAATAATTTAATGAAAACTGTGCAATATTCAAGGAAAATGTGCAATATTATATGTCTTGATGTATTGTATCACAATGTTATGTGTCTAATGTCTCCCTGCATGTTCAGTCAGTTATGGCCGACGTGACCAGGGCTCAATGTTCCTTTCTTATATTTGTGAATAAAGAATGATTTTACTACGACATGATTGGTGCAGATGATGATGGTGGTGCAGATATTGATGATGAGAGTGGTGCAGTTGTGGATGGTGCAGATGTTGATGGTATTCATTCTCCCTGCAGGGTGGCGTGATCCTGGTATCTCACGACGAACGACTCATCCGCATCGTGTGCAATGAATTGTGGGTATGTGGAAACGGCACGGTGCGGAGCGTGGAGGGTGGCTTTGATGAGTACAAGAAGGTTCTGGAGGCGGAGTTTCTGCAGCAGTGAAGAATACACCAGCTCTACAAGCTGGTTCACAGTTTTAACTGTGCATGTGTGGGGTTAAAGTAATAATCTCCAAGCAGATCCTAATAGTAGGATGGCCAAAGACAGTATCAGCTTGGCCAGACAGTATCCATTGGCCAGACAGTATCTAATTGGCCAGACAGTATCCATTGGCCAGAAAGGGTCTGTACATCCATACAACTGTCTCTGGCCAATGGATAGTACCTTGCCAATTGGATACTGTCTTTGGCCACCCTAGGATCTGCTTCAATATTAGGATTTAAATTGAAAGCCCCTAACTTTTAAACATGCTTGATACATGTAGTACATGTTCAGACATACTTTCTTTATGTATCAGGGGCCTTCAGCTTAACCCACAGTGCATCAGCATTTAGAACTTGAAACAGCTTATTGTTATAATGACCACCTTTATGTCATTAGACCCAGCTCTCTTTAATGCTAATAAAAACTGCAACTTTTCATCCAACACTTTCACTGCAACTCACATATCATAACAGACAAGGATGAGAAATCCATCAAGTGTTTTTATGTCTTAAGTATTTAAAGTGGAAATGATGATGAATGTTGGAAACCCATTCTGCAATGACCAGTAAATGACATGAATAATATTTGACTTTGTTGCCTTTCGGATTAGGCCACACCAAGTTAATTTTATGGATGACGTCCTTTGGAGACCCTAAATCTAATGCGAGAGGGTGAAGAAAAAACAAGAAGGACCCTAAAAAACAAGATGCCTAGATTAGAAATATACTAAGAGACGACAAATGTTAGGACACAAATTGAATGAGGTGACACATTGTAACAAGCAAGAAGTCTTATTCATCATCAAAACAGCAATAATAAATCAGGTGGAACAGCAGTTGTCGTCTTGTGCTTTGTGGAGATAGATGGAGCGGTCAGCAAGTTTCTTCAAATGTGGCAGCATGTACCAAACTGAATTCCTAATTGAAGTCATTATTTCCTTGCTTGATGCTTCATAAGCTTTGGTCCGTACAGACCTATTTGCGGCACTGTCGTGACTCTTTGGTCATAATTACAGGAAGCGGAATTTCTTGATTTTTTTCTAGGAACAGGCCAAAATCAATGCGCGCGTGGACGTCATCCATAAAATTTACATGGTGTGGCCTTATGTATGACCAATGTATACTACCATACTGTTTACTATAGAGAGGATTTGCAATGCTTGGTATATACATACAGAGAAAATACAACAAGAAGTGGCTACAATGGCCAGGTGGTCCTTACAAATGTATGTAGCAGTGGGTACTGGGTAACAATTATTGGGTTGACAATGCAATACATGTATAATAGTTTGATTTGCCAACCTGTGGAAATAAACTAAGCAATCGAGTCAGATGGCTGTAATATGGACCACATTTTTGTGCAAACTCCAAATGTTTTGACTCTCAGGCCACTGCAAGTAAATTTTATGGATGACATCCTCTGCAGACTCCAAATCTAATGCGAGCGGGCAAAAAAAAACAAGGCGGTCCAAAAAAACAAGGTTCCTACAATTTAAAATATTGACTCAATCATTGTACAAATGGTTTTGATTCAGTGGAAACATCACATGTACAAAGCCAGCGTCACATATCACTGCATCAAAGTAAGAAACAAAACATTAAATCAGAGACTTTTCTTGTCTCCTCTCTTCATAGTTATCTGCCATCCACCTTCCGGCATGGCAACAGACATCTCTGCCCATTTTCGGCATGTTGACCACTGTCAGAAGGCAACAAAATTTCTTGTTTTTTTTTCCAAAATCAGGCGAAAATTAATGCGCGCGCTGATGTCATCCATAAAAATTACTTGCTGTGGCCTTACTATATACTGTATATGAGATGGAGGAACAGTCTAGTGCAACATCTGGGCCCTGCATGGGCAAGAACTGTCAGACTCAGACAGGAATTAGCCTCCACCAGGCCTTTCTACGGGAATACGGATCATAGAATTTGGCAAAAAGAGAGTAAAATTGGCCAAGGGAGTCCGGCCGCGGCCAGTCAAATCTACAAGGCGGCCAAACTCCCCTGGCAAATATTCTCCTATATATAGCCAGCGTAGTTAGTCTGGTAGAGACTAGACAGGAATGGAGCCAGTCAATGGAGGGGTTCCTCTGTAAGAGTGACAATAACCTAGAATAATGATGATGATGATACACCATGTTTTTTGGCATAAGTTAATTAAGGATTAAGTGTACTGGCCACTTTCTGTAATCCTCCATATTGGAGATACATGTATATTTGTATTCTGTGCTCAAGTTATTACAATGTACTAGTATGCACATGTCAGCTTGTTCAGTCTCGTTTCTTTACAGCATACAAGATTTACAAAGCATTTATGGTTCATGGTAGCTCAGACCACAAGAGATGTCTGTTTCCCATACGAAAGGACGCCTGGAATTATCATTTAGTGCAATAGAGGAAAATGAAATAGCCATGTTTTCATTCTTCCTGAATAGCTTTATGGTACAATTCTTAAATACCCTGTTGTTATTACATGTATCCTCTCTCACATACAAAATGCGTAATATAAACAACGGTTGATTGAACTTGTCTGCTAAGCAGATGGCTATCATGGTTTCTCAGAAGTTACCTGGTCTCTGTAGACAACACTTTTAATTAATGATACCGAAAGTGAAAATGAAAGAGGAAGATTGTCTTGTATACAAAACCAACATATCTGTTTACTGGGGTTTTAAAAAATACGAAAAATTTGAAATTTTCAAAATAGGAAACTTTTTACCTCAGACCAAACTTCTTCATCCTTGACAAACCGACCAATCACCTGGACATGGAGACCATAGAGGCTCTTGGGAAGGCTCTCAAGAAGTTCAAGGTCACCCCATATTCTCTATTTTACGCGTGTTCTACAAACACCTGTTTCTCAGAAGGCACCTGGCCTCTGTAGACAACACACCTATTGTACCTGTGAAAGATGATCCTATGTTTTTTTACCGACAGTGAAAATGAAAGAGGAAGTTTTATCTGTCACCAGCACGCGATGGTCTCAGAGGAGGCCTCAGTCGTTTCCTTGTTCCATCACGTCTATCTAAAATGTCCTTGACCTTCTAATGACCCGCCCAGCCCTGTACAAAAGGGTCTGGTTGATTTCAAGGATAGATAAAATTGAAAAGGCCAAAACTTGTTTCACAGATAAAAGGCTTGATGTGTCGGTGAAGGTTAGACATTCAGGTAATAATATACGCCAAAAAGCTGTTACTCAAGCAACTGGAAATGATATTAGAGGCTTGCTGTGTTTTATCTAAACCATAAGTTTGATGAGATAATTTTTGTACTTCGTCGCACACATGGGCTTGCCTAGCAATACGGAAGGTACACGAATGACTATGAAACAGTACTGACATCCACCATTTTCGCCTGGTATCAGATCATGTCTTTAACTATATATATATGCTGCTAAAGTCATGTATACCAAAGAGTACGTTTTGTGACGGACCACAACGACAAAAGTACGACATGGTACGACATTGAAAACGTACAATCGTATGGTGAAGTATGTAAGTACTGGCCAGGGATAGCATTGGGAAATTTGGAAATGCGCTGACGAAATACCATTCCCTGAAAATATATTCAATGAAAAATACATGTAACAAGTAACTACATGCATTATCGCAATAATGTGTATACCCTTGTATGAATCTTATGCTGTTGATTAAGATTGACGTTTTGTAACAGTGGGGGGTTTATAGGCGCTACCAACTGACCCGGCCGAAGGGTCTGGACCTTTTCGGCAACCTGAATATTACAGTTTATAACAACTTCTTTAGCACGACAGCACGTTTCGCACGACAGCAAACCAGTACCAACCTAGAGTACACGTAGTCCAACACTTGAAAATTTGACAGAAAACATGTGAAGGCATGTATCGTCCTGTCTATAGTGCCGCCTTAACAAAAAGCGCAAACTATGCAAACAACCGGATGTGAAGGAATGAGGAAAATCAGCCAGAAAATGTCACAGGTGTGCCGTTTGCATTGTCCGCACATCCTGTTGAGATATAAAGAATTATTGGGGTGGGGTGTTAGTCTTTTGGACCTGGACCAAAAATTCAGTCAGCCAATGTACCTTATGAATTATAACGTTCTGTTCTTGCCTGTTCACTTTATGTCATTGCCTTTATAAGAATATATTTTCCTTCCAAGTTTTACAGTGTTTGGATTCTTTGGATCCATTGTTAATTTCTGACGCTGAATTGTAACTAGAGCCCCGGTTTCACGTGTGAAACTGCAACTTCACTATATATATAACTAATAACATAGATGTAACGCAACGTACATTTTTATCACTCATTATTACGTGACGAAACATCGCTTGTGAACGCAAACGATTTTCCTAGTGCGTTTCCTCAATCTGTCTTACAACTTTTTTTCTGGATAAAAGGGAGCTAAATCCAGAATTAAGTGTTCTTAACATTTCTTGGTCTGTGTGTCAGCGACACAATACGACGGGGATATCAATTAATTTTTGTAAATACCCTAATCCCAACTTAAAGTGGTTTTCCAAGAAGGATGAGTTAATAAGGAAATGCCCGTACGGCCACTTTTTGTATACAAAGCTTGAGCACATTCAAAACTCCCTTCATTAGTGATGCCCTGATTACCAAACTCAAAGTGTTTTTGCAGGAAGGATGAGTTAATAAGGAAATGTAGCCTCCACCAGACTCCTTTGCAGGCTGAATAAATAGTAGAAATCGGCCTAAGAAGGGGATTTAATTGGCAAAAGAAGTTGGCCGGCCAGATAGGGTCCAATTTGCCTTCAGCCGGCCAACTTCTCTTGCCAATTAAAACTACATTTTTAGGCCGATTTCTACAAAGGAGTCTGGTGGAGGCTACGTTTCCTTATTAACTCATCCTTTATGCAAAAACACTTTGAGTTTGGGAATCAGGTTATCACTAATGAAGGAAGTTCTGAATGTGCTCAAGCGTTGTACCCAAAAGTGGCCGTACGGGCATTTCCTTATTAACTCATCCTTCTTGGAAAAACACTTTGAGTTGGGGATCAGGGTATTTACAACTTGACATCCCCGTGGGGAATATTGTGTCGTTGACGCACGTGCACAGACCAAGAAATGCTAAGAACACTTAATTCTGGGTTTAGTACCCTTTTATTCAGATAAAAGTTGTAAAACAGATTGAAGAAACGCACTAGGAAAATCGTTTGCGTTCACAAGCGATGTTTCATCATGTAATAATGAGTGATAAAAATGTACGTTGAACATAGATGTAACGCAACGTACAGTTTTATCACTCATTATTACGTGATGAAACATTGCTTGTGAACGCATACGATTTTAGAGGAAATACACGTACGGCCACTTTTGTGTACAAAGCTTGAGTAAATTCAGAACTCCCTCATTAGGGATCTGGTCTCCCACGTAGATTGACACGAGTGAGTCTACATGGCCTTGGCCTTAACACCTGTGCTAACAAGTTGTTTTTGACTCACATATCAAATGGCAGGTACAGTAATTCCCGTGGGTCAAAAACGGAATTGTTTACGCTACAATTTCAAAACGGATTACACTGTGGTTTCTGTGGACAGGCCTAGACAGGATAGGGAAGAGGAAGGTTTCTCGATAAGGCCACACCAAGTAAATTTTATGGATGACGTCCGCGCGCGCATTGATTTTGGCCTGTTCCTAGAAAAAAAAACAAGAAGAGCTGCTTTTTGTAACTATGATTAAAAAGTCACGACAGTTGGATAAGGGAAGATTTGATAAAGGAAAGAAACAGGACAAGACGGCAACTGCTGTACCACTGATTTATTGCTGTTTTCATGACGAATAAAATACTTATTGGTTGTTACACTGTGTTTTCACATTTGCCGTCCCTTAGAATACATCAAATCTAGGCATCTTGAGTTTTTTTTCGCGCTCTCGCATTAGATTTTGGGTCTCGAGAGGGCGTTATCCATAAAAATTACTTGGTGTGGCCTAACCGACATTTCAACATTTTGTGGGGTACCGACCATTAATATTTTCTTGCAAGGGAGGACTGGAATTGATTTCTGAAAGCACGATAAAGTTTCCGTTCCTGCTATTGATAATCTTATGAATCTCATATCAGGGTAGAGACTCCAATCTGGTAGTATCGGTGGAGATTTTACTGGTCAAGATCCCTATCTGAGTTTTTCTTTAAAATTCCGAATACAGTCTGTAAATTTAAGATATACGAACACTTAGTAGAAATTTAGAACTTTTCAAGTTTGATTTATGTCACTTTTTCTCCGACCCATTTTGCGAGGGGCAGGAAGGGCAGTTTAGGCCATACCGACATAATTTTATGGATGACATCCTCTGAAGACCCCCAAACTAGTGCGCGCGGGCGAATAAAAAAAATTCCGGCCAAAAATAAAAATGCTACTAAACCACAGGAATACAAAGCTGGTATTGTGAATTTGTGGCAGTACATAGCGACATATAGCAACATGCTGGCTTTTGGCCGAATTTATGAATCGGCACTGTACGTGTACTGAGTTCTTGAGTCGTGGAGCTTCGATAGCCAGGGTGCCCGGCTCCGTATTGTCGCTGACTACCATGGACTATCCAGGCCGCTAAAGACAGGCCAGAACCTCGGTGGACGTGATTTTTTTTTTTATAACAGGCGAAAATCAATGCGCGCGTGGATGTCATCCATAGAATTAAGGCGGTGTGGCCTTACCACAGAAACAGGAACAAGTGACAAAGGACAAGGAGCTTATATGGAAACTCTCCCTTGCAAAGAACAAGCTGCACCCTGTTCATGCCCTGTGTGAAAGTTGCATGAGCTTTAGGTTAATCTCCAAGCAGATATTAGCGGAGGCTAAACATGCAAGCATGGCTACGGCAGAACACCAAACAGCCCCAGAATTCCTGTTTGAGTACTTCAATTTCTGACAGAGCAAATATTCATGAATTTATTTTCAGGGAACAAAATACTTTTCTTTTTCTTTTTTCAAAATAATTTTTCTTTTCTACGGCAGAACACCCAACAGCCCCAGAATTCCTGTTTCGTGTAGTTCAATTTGTGACAGAGCAAAATACTCATGAATTTATTTTCAGGGTACAAAAGATATCTCTTTTTCTCCTTGTCATCATATAGGCAGTCTGCATCGCCCCCAGTGAGTCCTAACATGTCAAACCACGTCCTTTCCTTGCCCATAGAAACTATGATCTAATCAGTCAATTTCGAAACATAAACAATACTCAGAAGTTTATGGTCACGGTTAAAAAAGCTAATAGCAAATGTTGAGGAATGCTATCTGTTCTTAGATACCTTTAAAAACAATGCCTAGAGTTAGATGTTCAAGGGTTAGATGTAACAAGTCGATCGGTGTAATGTAGCCAGCTGCCGCCGCGCCGCGTGCCTGCTAAGCTGGTGTGTTACGCCGAAAGGCGGTTATAACGGCTATTTAGATACAGATACAGTCCTCCTATTTGCCCTTTTCAACGTTTATGGGGCAGTTTAACACAGAATGGGAAGAGAACAATTTACCCTCACACAACATCTGCTTGGAGATTAATAGCTTAAGGCAAAGTAGTTGTTGGATCACGTACATGTGCCATGTCACAAAGGTATTGAGGAAGTAGCAACAAGCGCGTGGGTGACTTTATGATACTGATTAGATCATAGTTTCTATGGGCGGGATTGGACGTGTTTCGACATGTTGGGACTGACTTTGGGCGAGATGCAGAATTCCGGAATGATGACAAGGAGGGGAAAGAAATATTTCAAGCTAAGGCTCACAGAAAATCCCACCTTCTCTTTTGACTTTCAGTTAACTAAAAAGTTTGCCTTCCAACTCTAACTTGTTGTAACTATACATTATTGAGTTGTATCCTGTCAAGCCACATTGCTGCTTCTATAGACACTGCATTATTATGTAGTGTATATTGTATTGTATATTATATCATATTCCTTTTACTGCAGCATCTGTATTTTATCTTAGATGCTAATGTACTATTCGTATTGCATCAAGTCTGCCGTTTTTTTTGGGGGGGGGGAGTCCATAACATAACATAATGGGATCATATAGAGCAAATTACACAAAGCTAACAGTGCATATTTAAAACATATTTAAAGGCATATCTAAAAACAAGAAGATAGAATCAAGCCACTTCTGTTACATCATATTAAAATAGATATGAAGTGAATATTTTCCCATAACTGGTACCCTTTTAAACTCGTTTAATGCGTGTATCAAATCTCTGCATAGTAGCTATATAGAGCTAGTTTTCTATCAAGCCCGAACTCCCTCTATTTCATGATCAGGTCGTTGAACTATTTTTCTGGACATGCGCACAAGCCTTCCCATGTCCCGCCTGCGCATGAGGAAATGTTATTTGATATTTTTATTTTTTCCGGGCTTTTTCTTGGAAAAGTACTTACCTGCGTCAGATGTTGATCAGATTTGCAGGTGTCTTTTGTTTGGAAGCATTCTTTTGAGTCGTTCAGGTGTGTTCTCCACTGCTATAAAAACCCTCCAATCCCGGAGTTTGTCAGACCACTTCTACTGACGAACAGAACCTGTGCCGATCAATTATAACTTCTCACCTTCCAACACAAACTTGTAAGTTGGTCTCCTGTCTGATTTTCTTCTTTTTCTTTTGATTTTTCTTATTTTCCTTTTGATCTTTTTTATTTTCCTTTCCTAGTGCTTTTTCGTTTTATTTTTCCGTTTCCTTTTGAATTTTGAACTAAATTTGCATTTTTTTTTAAACTTGCGCTAATTTTACCAGCAGGTTCATCTTTCTGACGACTTTGAGCGAGCCGAGCCCAGCTGTAAAATGGTAAGAAGCTGTAGTTATGTTCACTTCGCACCTACATTTCATTTTTATGTTGTTTTGCCGTCGATTATTTCGCTCGGATTCATTCTAAACATAAAGAGGGTAGAAAACGAGATATTTCCAATGTTTCAGATGTCAGAACGCTAAAATATGTTAAGTTAGGCTGTCCTAGGCAATGCTGGTGTTTTCCGGCGGGAGGGCAGATATTTGATACAACAGCTCAGTCTTCTTAGTAGTTCTCTGGTCTATATGACGGGACACCGCCCAAGATAATGCAGCATTATTTCGTCTATTTGTCTACTTTTGGCTGTTAAAATACCCTCTAAATTCTGTCTGTCATTTCAGGCTACGATGACTATGATGACACTGGTGGTGTTGGCCTGTGTGGCAGGCGTTTTCGCTGTTCCAACAGCCGCGCCCGCCCCCGCGGCAGATGGCAAGTACAAGGTGAGACGTTTTCCTTCAAAGAGCTACCTTTTTCCAATTTCATTTTCGTAACAGCCATGAAAAACGCCAGGCTTTCTAGCGTAGAGAAAGTTCCTAGCCTGGTTACCAGACCTATCATAGAGCTCCCGAGTCCTACTTGCGGAGAGGATGTAGCCTCCGTAGCAGGCTTATTATAGAACTGGGGGTTTGGTGGTCTTCGGCTGTTTTCTGAGTAGCCCAGTTCTAAAAAAAACGGGGAGTAATTCAACCAGGCCGGTTATGTTGTCTATATGCAATCAGAAAATAACACATAAAAGATCCCAAAGACCATGAAGACCCCCCCCCCAAAAAAAAACCAGTTTTTGGCATGCTATGGAGGCTAGAGAGGATGTTGGATTTGGGATCTAATTATGGTAACCAGGCTAGAAAGTTCGGCTCCGTGGAGGCGGCTAAAGTCTAACTAAAATGCTTCACCGAATATCAGCACCTGACTCTGCCCATCAACGAGCGCGGGACGAAGTTTAACGAAGAAGCGGACGTGGACCATGACGACAAAATCGTGCTCTTCACCGTGCCTGACCACAACACCGTGTCCAACAGCAAAGTCATGCTAGACTATAACAATGTAAGTGTGCTTGTTTTCTAACCCTTTTCAAGTAACATGATAGTGAAATCCGCGTTATGGGGTCGTGTGGCGTAACGACATAGCGTTCGACTCGAAACCAAGAGGTCCTGAGTTCGAATCCTGTCATACCACCGATCTAGTGCCCTTAGAAAAGTCACTTTACACGAATTTCCTCACCTTGACTCAGGTGAAAATGAATATGTCTGTTGTCCGTTCATGCGTTTGTCAGTGTAAGTTGTGGCATAAAAATAAGTTGAAAAAAACTTGAGTGTGTCTGCTTTAATATCTAAAATATCTTCTCCCTTGATTTGGTATACACCATTATAAAGCCCTACATAACTTTCTCGTTTTTTTTTCTGTTTTTCAGAGGAAGGTGATGACCTTGTTTGAGAAAAGGAAGCAGTGCCTGCTGTCTGACATGCCGGAAAGCATGCCGTCGTTCGAACGCGTGGAGGAAGGACTCAACCTCGTCGCTGTAAGTCGTCCTGTGCACACATGGCTTCACTTTACACAATCATAGCCTCCTTCGCAGTCTTGTTGGGCGTCGGCGTTATTTTTTCTCTGAGCGACGCAAGTAATATGCCGCCGCA